TTTTATAGATTTTATTTGCAGAATCAAAATATAACAAAATATCTAAACATAAAAAATATTTTAATTTACTTATGAATAAAACTTGTAATTATTTTAGTATATCACATATTTACACTTAATTGCTAATAACATATCCGTAGAGTATAATGTAATTTATTTATAAGAGATTGATTTATATAAATAATAAATTGAGTATCAATGCAACAAATGCTATAAAACAAATTATCATTAAATTAATGTAGATATAGACATGAAATACAGTATTTTAACGATAGTGTAACAACTGGTACCATAAAGTTCATGTCAACACAATTACAACATTTGTCACTTAATCTTTTATGTTAGGATATAGTAACACAAATTACATTAAGTGACATAAAAAGTAATAAATATATTAAATTATTTTCACGAATTCCTGAAAGGAATCCGTATATGCATTCTATAAGTCGGTCTGTCGGTCTGTCGGTCTGTCGGTCTGTCGGTCTGTCTGTCCCACGAGGACATAGGTTCGAATCCAGCCTCAGCTACGATTTTTTTTGTGTTTTTTTTATTTTTATTTTATTTTTTTTTATTTTTTAAGTTTATTTTTAAGCAAAAAAAAAACAAAATGGAGTCGAATAATTAATAAAAAATTTTTTTGTTTTTTTTTAAATTTTTTTTAAAGTTTATTTTATCAGGAATATAAAGAAAATAGTGTCAAAATTTTTTTATAAAATATTTTTTTTTAATTTATTTTAATTTTTATTTTAATTTTTAAGTTTAGATTTGTGTTAATAATCCTAATAATGTAAGGGATCTGCATTTAAATTTAATTTATTTTAATTTTAAAGTTTAGATTTGTTTTAAATAATCGTTATAATGTAAGTTATGTGCATTTAAATTTTTATTAAATTTTTAATACTTAAATACTAATGTTAAATATATACTTGTTTGAAATGAACAAAATAGTATAGAATTATGTGAAAAATTAAAAATATCTTGGTAGTACTTTTCCATAAACTCTGACGTAATAGTAAGTGTAGTACGTTTATAGTAATTTTCCATGAACTCTGAATTCACAGTAAGTGTCATACTTTTTTTGTAGTTTTCCATGAACTTTGATGCATAATATGTGTCGAACTTTACTTGTAGTTTGCTTTGACCTCTGATGCAAAATACGTGTCGAAATTTAATTGTATTTTGGTTTGACCTCTGATGCATAATGTGTGGAAATTTACATGTAGTTTGGTTTGACGTGTTGTGCGACTGTTCAGTAGGAAGACTGCTATTTCTGCAGTGACCATCATTCAACAGTCTGGCTTGGTTGGCTAAGCATCATCTACAACAGTAAGAGTAAGTTGTTATGACTAATTTATAAATTATTTATTAATTTTTGAATTTATCAACAGATGGCATTAATTGACGAATGCAAAGTATGCTATGTCGTAACGGTGCAGCTGATGTCCGAACTTTTGTGTGAAACATGTGAGCATCACATTTGACAGAGAAGTTTGTACAATGTTAAGAATGGAGCGTCATAAAGGCTTCATTAAACTTGTTTGTATTGTGTAAACTTTGGGTGGAACTAGAAATTTTGGACTAAAATGAAGAGTGACAACAGATAGAGATATTGGATGACGAACATCCAGTCCACCAACAATACGTCTTTGAGAATGATTGTATAATCTTTAGGCACCAATTGACCACAACATGTACTATCCGCATCCTACATATTGTTCTGAACAAGAGGAACCAATGTTTGCATAAAACGATGACGATTTTCTGTTTGCACCAAATGAAGATAACATCAGAGTCGAATCTCAAGAGATTGCCACTGACGAGGTCAACAATATTTCACTTCAAAACAATCCATTTATATTTGAAGACGATATTGACTTCGCTTGGGTTAACGAAATCATGGTGGTAACCATTGAAGACAACATTGAAGTCCTAACAATCGATGACGCTGAAAATGATCTCATTACTTCAAATTTAATGACTTATCTCGAATTCCTGAAAGGAATACGTATATGCATTCTATAAGTCTGTCGGTCTGTCGGTCTGTCAGTCTGTCAGTCTGTCAGTCTGTCAGTCTGTCAGTCTGTCGGTCTGTCGGTCTGTCGGTCTGTCGGTTTGTCGGTCTGTCGGTCTGTCGGTCTGTCGGTCTGTCGGTCTGTCGGTCTGTCGGTCTGTCGGTCTGTCGGTCTGTCGGTCTGTCGGTCTGTCGGTCTGTCGGTCTGTCGGTCTGTCGGTCTGTCGGTCTGTCGGTCTGTCGGTCTGTCGGTCTGTCGGTCTGTCGGTCTGTCCCACGAGGACATAGGTTCGTATCCACTATCCGCTACAAATTTTTGTTTGTTTTTTTCTTATTTAAGTTTATTTTTTAGAAAATTGAAGAAAATGGTGTCCAAAAATTAATTTAAAAAATTTAGAATTTTTTTTTGTTTTTTTTTTGAATTTTTTTGAATATTGATTTTTTATTTTTTCGTTTTTAAGTTTATTTTTTAGGAAAATAGTAGTTTATTTTGTAATACTGAATCATTTGATACCCCACATGACTATAGTTGTTTATTTTGTCATACTAAATCTTTTGATACCCTACATAACTATAGTTGATTTTATTTTATCATACTGAATTTAATTTTTAATTATGATTAGGAATTCGTGTGGAAATGCTTTCTAGCATTCTCAACTGGTTATTATTATATACTGTATTTATTCAAAATTATCATATATTGTGTTTATAACATTTAAATTCTTGTTTAAAAATATTAGTTTATTTTAATGTCAATAAATTAAAAGTATAAAAATTTATATATTTTAATACTGTATATAAAATAATTATAAAATACAGTACATACTATTTAAAGTATTTTATAATTTTTAAAAACTTTTTTTAATAAGAATACAAAAAAAATAAATACTCATTTAGTGTATATTTTTCAATTAAATTTCTTTCTAACATAATTTTAGTTTATTGTTAATGGTCATTTTATGATTGTTATATTATAATTTATAAATAATAACATTATAATTTCAATTACAATAATTTCTAAAATTAAAGTATAATTTTTTCATAATTTTGTCTTATCATAACAATATTTATTATAAAATATTCATTATTATGATAGTTAAATTATGATATTTTAAATGACATTTAAAAATAATGATAATGAGTATAATTAACTAAACAATTAAGTTTTAGAATTTCTTAATTATTGTTTTAAATACTCTAAACAAAAATAACTAATTAGTAGTAAAAGTTAATTTAATTTGATATTTATTTATTTTTAAGTCAACAGATAAGTTGTTTCTTTTCAAAAATTAATAAAATATAAAGTTGTTTAAAATAAATAAAAATTAATTTTATACATATTTTTATCGCAACAATAATAACATTACTTATAATTAATTATAAGTAAAGTATAACTGATTTATATAATTGTATTAATAATTTTCATTGTTAATATTTATCATATTTATTTGTTAAGTAATTCATTTAAATTAATTTTTAAAATAGTGTTTATTAGATATCATATTAGAGGCAATAATAATTATAGGGTCGTTGTTATTGATAATTATTTGATGAAACTTACTTTAACTAAACAAATTATTAATCGCATAGTTATATATAATATAATACTTATTATTTTTATCTAATTTTATAATTATTTATACATTATAATTGTGGCTAAATAATTATTTTTTAAAATCCGACAAATTAATTAAAATAGTAATATTACATTATTTTTTAGCTTCATATTTATTTATTATTTTTTATTAAAAATAAGGTTAGAGAAATCATTATAATAACACTATTGTTGCTATTATAGACCTACTTTATCCCTATTTACAACTCTAAAGATTTTTATATTACTTAAAATAATATTTAAATAATTAATTGATTAGAATAATTAAGATTTTAAATAAAATTATTGAAAGACAAATACACAAATTTTATTGTTACGAATGTATAATTATAGTAATATATAATTAAATACAAAAATGATAATCATTAAGTTTACTAAAATTTAAATTATTTCGCATTTAAAATATATAATAAAACATACATTAAAATAAATTTAATTGCCATTTATTTTTAAAAGTTATTTACTTGTAATATATATTCTATTTAATCTGAAAGATAAAAATTGTTATAATTACGTTATAAAATTTGTAGTAAATATAATATACTGTATTTGGTAATATAATATAATAGTTATTAGTTAATTTATAGTAGTTGTATAACATAAAACTTTTAATAATTTCTATAAAAATAAACGTAATATATTACAAAACTGCTATATTCTAATCATATATTCTTTAAAAAATATAATATAATTAAATATTTTTTATTATTTTAAAATTTCATGTTTTCTATTTTACATTTATAAGTTGACAAATTAATTGAATTCATATTTAATATAAATATTTTAAACTATTACTTATGAATATTTAGTATATTTTATATTAATTTATTTTATTTAATGTTTTATGAATATCTTATATACAGTAGATATAAAATTATTTTAATTTTACATATATTATTTGTACTTTTTTAATATACACTATATACTGTTTAATGTTATTAATAATTAAAATTCATCAAATTTATTAATTAATTATATTATTTTAAATATTAAAATTGTTTTAATTTTCACTACTTATTACATTTATAATCATTGACTAATTAAAAATTTATAAATTAAAATATAATGTTTTTTTAAATATTATTATTATCACAATAATGTTTATTTATTATAAAACATATAATATTATAAAGTTTTTTATATTTTAATAATCAAATTACATATTTATGTTGATTTTATAATGACTTTAAAATAAACTAATTAAAGTAAATCAAATCTTTATATATTTTAATGAATAAATAATTATTAAATATCTTATTTTTACCACAAATATTACAAATGAATACAATATTTATTTAATTATAACTAATCTAATAATTTTGAATTTTTTCAGTAATTAATTGTCTGCCACTTCTGTCTGAATAAACATTGTTATCATTAGATATTTCACCACTTCTTGCAATTCTTGTATAATATTTTAATGTATTTAATATAGATTTCAAAAAATGTATGTTTTTTGGTGAACTGATTGTCGATTTCTTGTTGAGTGACTCGTCATTGTAATGATAGGCCGCATCACACGGGTTGGCCACGTAGTCCCTGTTTGCCGAACGCTTACCAAATCGGGGAGGTTTTCGTAAGTCATAATCTGAACAGTCCAAATCCAACTGTCCTCTTATTACTACTAATTGACTATTTATTGCTAACAATATCAGCAAAATAGCCACCATTTTAGATAACATTTCTTATTGTTATTTCAATTTGTATAAATTGAATTTGTTTTAATAAGTTGTATCTGAAATAAATTAAGATAAATTAACTTTAGAATTGAAATCTATACTTTTATTTTTAAAAAAATTAGTTAAATAAATCTATCAGTTATTTGATTATGTAATTATTACATACAATTATTGTATTTTTATTAAAATATTTAAAATAATTGATATATAAATAATGATTTTTCAATAATGACCAATCAACAGTTTTAAATTTAATATTTTTCATGTTATTTACTATTATATATTTATTTTATAACTTAATTTATTTACAATAAGAATACTTAAAATTAATTATAATAAATTTAAATTAAAAATATTATTATTTTAAAGTAATTAACATATAGTTTTGTAAAATTAATAACATTATAAACTTATATTAAACTGTTATTAACTAAATATTGATATATTAGCAATATATATTAATTTTATTTACAAATTTTTTTTAAAAAAATCATATTTTTATATTTATTATCTGTCATTTAAATTTAATTATATAAATAATATTAAAAAATCATTACTTACTTATAATATATATATATATATATATATAATTTAATAATTTATTAAAAATTTTTAGAAACCTTGAAGAATGTATATTAATGTAAATTTGTACTTAAGATTTAAAAATTAACAATTTATAAATTTGTTTGTAATATTAAACTTGAAGCTAATGTTTAGCAAATTAGAGTCAAATGTAAACTGACGGACCTTTTCTGTGGGTTTATAACATTATATTTGGTGTAATTCACAACAAAAATGTAGAATTCTTTATATATATTATATATATTTAACTGATGAAAGATTTAGTCATTTTGCAAATCAAACTATAACTACACTCAAACTCTGTAAGGTATAACTTACCTAACATTTTGGTCATAAATTCAAACAGATATCTTACTACTATTAATAATTTGATTATAATGTAGTTATAATAATACTATCTAATTGTATTTGATAATAAACTATTTTATAAATATCTTTTAGATATATAAAACATATATATATATATATATATTATATATAGTAAATTATTAATTACCTAAATAATTACTATGTGTTTCGAAATTATTTTAATTAATTAATATAACATTATTTATCAATAAAAATTGTTGATTTCTATATAATAAAAACTACAATTTTATTGAAATAAAACATAGAAACATAGTTTATTATTATTTATGAAATATTACATATTTTATTACTTTATACATTGGTTTCATTGTTTTTATGGCTAGTTTTTACATTGTTTTCTTTAGGTATAATCAAATTTCTTTATTAATTATTTATATTATTTATGGTTACTTTTATTATGTGTTACATAACTTTATTGTTTTATCATATCTCTGCACTAGACATGTAGTGTATGTTTTTACACTTTTAGCAGTTAAAAAATATTTTTAATATTTATATGTTTTTGGTGTAACTTAATAAAGAAAAATTATAATTAGTTTTGTGACACTAAAAATGGACATCGACTGTAAAATTTCTAAAATATATTTATAAAGATTAAGGTATGTTTGATAGTATTACTATTTTGCATTATTTGTGTTTTAATTTAATTTTCAATTTATCAAAACTATAGTATTATTTGACATTAAAGTACTGAATTACACACTCGTTGACGTGTTGTTTGATAGTTAAGCTGACAAATAAATAAAATCACTAAAAGATGAAACAAATTTTGAATTATTTATATATTTATATATACTGTAAATTTGGTTCGGCTTTTCAAAAGCTATATTTAATACAATAGTTACGATAAATTAAATATCAATGTTTACTTCTGTTTATGTTTTTATATAATTCAAAATAACTGTTAACTAAAATTTTATTTAACATTTTTCAATCACATGCTGTGCTTTTCAGTTGCAAATGAATTGATTTAAAGCTATTTATTCATTAATTTGATTTCTAAAAATATAAGATTTTATACAATAGATATTACAATATATTTAATAAAAATTTGTTTTTTATTTTTTAATAACTTATAAAATTTCTTTAAACAAAAGTTATTATTTTTTTTGAAAATTACGATTAAAAATATTTTTTAAAATTGCACAGAATTTGTGAGCTTATTTGATAATATTTATAAATAAATTTTATAAAAAGAAAAAAACATTATAACTTATAGGTATATATTTATTGAAACTATAGCTTTTTAATATTGACACAAACAAATTATTTGAATACTATTGATATAATAATAAATTATATGACTGATAATCAAACAATTTTACTAATATAATATTAATAATACATTATTAATAGGCAAATGTTTTAAAGATTTGTTTTTTTTAAATTTTTGAGTTAACTTTTAATTGTTTGTTGTATTATATAAACTGTTTTCATTATTAGTGGATAAGACTGTTGTAATGATTTCATAGCCGACATATTGACAGATAGTATTCATCAATAACTGAATCTTTGCCATCAGTTTCAGAATTGTCACTTCATTTACAACAACAGACGGAACCCATTGAGTGATTGCAAAATGAATGTCAATTCAATAATTAATTCACAGATTTACTAAATCTTATATTTTAAATCAAATGATAATTGATATTAAAATTTTAATAATCAGAATCCATTAAATTATAATTTCAATTAAGATATAAATAACTTTAAAAACACTTAAAACATAAATGTGTTTAAATGTTTATACAGTATACAAAACTATTGAATATTTATTTACATTATTTAGTCAATTAGAGATGTACTGTAAAGTTATCAAAATTTATATATTACTAAAGTTTTATTTAACAATAGATTTCATGAGTTATTTACAAGAAAACTGTATTTATTTTTTAATAAATTACTTAACAATTGGTTGAATCAAATGTCTCGTGAAATGTGTTATTAAATGATTAGTTAGTGAACTAAACATCACTTTATTCTTTAATAAAAATTCATTGCAATAGTCAGTCATATCTAAACCAACAAAACTTTATATTTTATGTTTTAGTCTAAAGTATTGATTTAACAAATTGCTGTAAATATGGAAATCAATTCAATGAGAGTTTTGTGTCTAATTATAGTAATTGTTTTGTCGATGACATTGATTGTGGTATCAAAAGAAAATCACAATAATATTTGCAAAGATCCGTACATTCATTCGGCGGATCGGTTGCCAAACGACACGATTCGCATCTATCGCGACAATTATTATTGGGAATTGATTGGTCTACCCGATAGAGTGGCCTTACCTAAAGGTCCCTATAAAATATTATTTGATTACATGGGTCCGGTCACACAAACGAGTGCTATTACGACTATAGTGGGCGGAAAATTCAATGGCAATGTATTCAAATTTGATAAGACTCGGTATTGGCAGTGGAAAGCCGATGGCAGACAAGTCATTGGCCAGAAAGATGGCGTAGACATGAGTAAAGGAAACTTTCCTCCCGAAGGATTCAATTGTGTTTTCAATGACGGCTCTCTTGATAAGCGATGGCCCGGACCGCGGATGATAGCATTTAACGGAATATATGTGACCTATTGGAACACCAATTTTTTGCCGTTCAGACCAATTGGTAAAACAAATCCCGGATATAAAGGCGGCAATTATGGCGAAAAGTTTCCGCCAGACATCACCGCTTGTGTAGCTTTTAAAATGGACAACAAAAAGACACCGCTTTGGGTCTATCTCTTCAAACGTGATAAATACTGCTTCCGACCCATCACTGATGCAAAAGAGTGTGAGTGGCGCGACAATAGGGAACTCTTTAACTGCAATTCTCAAACCAATCAAAATACTGATAAAAATGATTATCAAGATATCGATACCATACTTATTCCGACACAAGAAACCATCAATTCATTGAATGGATCGGACAATCAGTCACCGAAAAATGAAGGACAAGAGCAAACCATAGCACAACCCGAAGATAATGTTAATCCAAATACAAAACCAGAGGATAATATTACTACAAATCCAATACCAAATCCTCAACCGGCAGATAATACAACTTCCGATTTACAGCCGACTGATATTCCTAATGGCACGTCCACTGAAGCACCCACTGAAGCGACAACTGTAGCTCTCACTGAAGCTACTACTGGAGCTAATACTGAAGCTTCTACTGAAGCTTCTACTAAAACGTCGGGTGCTTTGTGTTTATGTAACCAAATGTGTTTGTCTTTCATTGGTTTTGTTCTGATATTAAACGTATTTCTTAAACATTTTTATTTTTAGTTAGTTTTCTAATTTATACTATATTTAATATTTTTATTTAGCATAATATTAAACTAAATTTTTATCACATTTTTTTTTATTTTATAAGTTTTTTAAAACTCTTTAATTATATGTTGTAGTTTTCTATGCTATGTATATTTTGTTTAACAAATAATTTAAGATTTATTTTAAATATATATATACTCTTTAATACTCTATATATTACTCTAGAATTGATTAAATAAAATTAAGTTTAATAAAATTTATTAAATTACAACAAATATTTTTTGTTTTTGATGTGTTAAGGTATCTACAATACAATAGATGTCAATGAAATAAATAAAATTTGAATAACATAATATAATATAATAAATTATATTACAGTAAAATTAGCAAACCTTAAAACTTTACTGAATGAATAAATTTATACATTTTATTTGTTTGTGGAGGCGTTTTGAGAGTACAGTATAATGTTTATAAATTAGTGTACAAATTATTCAACGTTTAGTTTATAGTATTATATTTTATGTAAATACTGTACATTGCATTTGCATTGTATTGCATTTAATAATCTTGATATACGTGTCGATAGACACGTCTATAATTTAAAGTTTAAGGCCTCCCGAGAAACCAATGCTTCACTAATTTAAAGTCAATCCTATGGTTGTGTCCATCACTTCAAGTCTAACTCATTTGATTAGAGATTGACTCAACATTTCGAGGATTTGTTGCCAACATTTTTAAACAAATTTATTTATTAGCAAAAATAGTTTTTAGTTATTGTATAATAAAATGTCACTTACATGACATTATAATGACAATACTAATCTTATACTATATTGTATTTTTATAATATAATATTATAAAATTATTATACATCTGTATAATCTATATAAATAGACATTGTCTACTAATAACATAAGCTAAATAACAAATAAATATAGATTATATAATATCATATTTATATATTTAGTAAAGTAAACATGATATATCATACAATAAATATTGATTTTTTAAATAAATATAGAATTAAATGTATTTATTGTTATTATGAATAAGAAAATTTTATACAAAGTTATTTGTTAGCATTTCCAAAATAAATTTCTTATTTTAACAAATTGTGATTATTTTTTACAAAAAAGTGAATTATAAAATATGAATTTTATTATCATTTAAGTAATCAATGGTTTGATAACAATTTTATATAGGTTTTAAAATATTTTTATTTTACATTTAGATATTTTATCGCCAATTTTATTCAACAATAATTTATAAAATAATTTAAAATTTCTACAATTATTATTCACAAAATAAAATTTTATTTATGAAACAATATTATAATACTATTGAAAATTGTATATTAAATTTCAAATGTATTTACATCAAACATTAAATTTTTCTAAAATAAATATTATATAATTTAAATAAACTTTTAAACTAATGTTAAAATATAAATTACTATTTATCATGATAAATTATATTTTACTTTACATTAACTGCTTTATCATTCAATATTATTACAATAAAACATACAATAAAATTAAAAGACTATACTTTTATTATTTGTTTATTTATTTTACAACAAAATCTAAGTAAATATCTATAAAAATTTAATTAGTTAAAAAAATACTTCAATATACACTATTGACATTAATTAGGATAAAATTAATTTATTAGAATTTAAAAATTTAAACAATAAAATTGATCCGTTGTTGTAATCAAAACAAAAGAAAATAAAAAACATTAAATTTAACTATATTTCATAAAATAATTAAAATCAATATTATAAATTTTATTATAAACAATTTTTTTGTTAAACAAATTAAAACTATTTCTAAAACTACAAATAAAGTTTAAATAAAAATGATTTTATATAAATATTAGTATAAATATAAAGTAAAAATATATAAAATGTTATAAATATTATTTTAATTAAACAAGTCTTCAAATATTTGTATAATATTTTTAAAAAATTAAACAATAAATGCAATTGAGTTAGTTATGTGGACAGTCGTATGTCAACACAATTGTTACGTATTTTCAGTTGATATTCTTGAGGAATGTTTCGATCAGTGTTTGATATTCTTGAGGATATTTGAAGTAATGACTAACATGTGGTGAGTTTTCCCAACATTTATGAAACACTTTAACACCGGATGCCTTCCAGCCTTCAATAGTCTTGAATGTGTTGACATGATTGGCCACTTCATCGTTTCGGGACAACAATACCAGAATAGGACACTTGAAGTCAGGCCTATGTATTGAATTTGATGACAGAATGTAGTGTTTGGTACAGCAGTTGTAAAATATCTTTAAATGTGTTTTCATTGCCGTCGATATAAACTTCTGAAGAATGGAGTTATTGGTCGACGCTTTTGATAAACCCATTGCCGCCTCATTCACATCAATAGCCGAGTCGTAAACAATACCTTTAAATCAAATATTATAGTATAATAATATCTAATAAATTTTAATATTAATATTATTTATGCTAAATATTTAAATGGTATATTAATAAGTTTTATTTATATATAGTATTATTATAGTAGCATTTTATATATAATAATATTGTATAATATGTATACAAAATAAAAATAGTAAAACTAGTTAAATACTAAACAAATAATTAATTACATCAATATTTCATTATTTAAAATATATATTTTGTATAACATAACAATAAAAAATTTCAACTTAAAAATAAAAGTATTTATTAATTAACGCAAAATATGCTTTTAAAATACTAAAAATTAAGATATATTATATATGTAGAGTTCGGTAAATAGCCCAAAGAAGAAAGGTTCACTAATAAATTCATTTCAATTTTCCCGGAAAATAAAGCAAATATTTTTATTTTCTCTTTTTATTCCGTTATTTTATATTTCAATAATAAAAAATTGAAAACTAAGACTTTTAATATAAATTTTATTATAATATTTTGTGTTATTATTTGTTTATACAGTATATGACAATTTTATTTATGTATTTTTAAACTTTATAATATGCTAGTAAGTTATATCCCTAAATTAGTTATTTATATTGTATTTATATAAGTTTTATTAGTCTATTATTTTTTATTTTACTACTATTATTTTTTAAACTTAATAATTATTAAATAATACAATATTTTTAATTTTTAGATTGCAATCATTGTAATTTTTCAAGTACTAAATGTTTATCATATATTTAATTTTAGAAAAATTATTGGGAACTTATTGGGAGATTAAAGGGAAATTATAGGGAATTTACAAAAATTTGGAAAAAATTGTTGTTTATAAAATGCAATAAAAATGCTACACCCACTCTATACCCCCTGAAATCTTTTGCAACCCTGATATAATATATTATATATATATATATATAATAATAATAATAATATATATATATATATATATAATAATAATAATAATAATAATAAATAAGTATTTAATAGTAAATTTAGTAATTTTAATGTTATATTATTTATATAACAAGATTTTAACTCTTTTTGAGTTTTTATTAATGATTGTTAATGATATTTAATATTTTGAACTATTGATTAACTATTCAATTAACTTTTAAATATCTTAAGATAAATAACTTTTTTGTTACTTTAATAATAATGATTAATAAATTAAAAAGATAATCAGTTTAGCATTTTATATTAATAGAAATATTTTAATAAAGATTTCTATCAAAAATTTAATCAAATCAATAAATATAATTAAATAAAATTTAAAATATTTATTTTACATTTTATCGCTAATATCTAGTATAAGAATTAATTCAAAATATTTCAAATTTATTAGACATTAAAAATAAAATATTTTAACTTCATCAAATTTCTGAAAAAACTATATAATAATTAATACTAAAATTAATTAATTATTAACTTCAATAAAAACTAAAAACATATATATGAAAGTATTTTTTAATAGTTAATAAAATATTTCTAATTTTTATTATAAAGTTTAGATATATATATTTATATATATATAGTGCTATATAAAGAGTAATGTTTATTATATTAATAACTAGTGTCTTGATTTCCAACTAAAAAAATTATTTTGTCGGTTCAACGCTTATAACTGGGACTTAGTATGTCCACCGAAGTTGACCAGTGGACGCTATTTCCGAAATTTTATTATAACTATAAATAACTATTTGTTGGGTTAGCAATTATAAAAACTTATAAATAATTATTTCATTGATTTTGATAAATATAAGCATTAAATTATAAAATATTGCACAAATATATGTAAAAACAAAAAGTAATAGTTATATAAATTATATAAAATGTGTAAACTGTTATCAACTCATATTACTTTTTTAACAATAGAAATAATTAGTTTATTTATATAAACCATTTTTGTAAATATGCTGAAAATAAGTGAATTATATATCAGTTGAAATATTTATAAGAAAATAAATAACTATTTCAATAACTATTTGGCTTTTTTGTCAACTATATACAACTATTTAATACAGTTTAAATAACTATTTTAACAACTATTTGACTTTTTTTAGCAACTATTATAACAACTATTTAATAGAGTATAAAAAACTATTAATCAATACACTATTAATAACACATGTTTAATACAAATACTGTAACTTATTTTATTAGACAAATAATATTGTGATTTATGCTATGGTTTAATAATTTAATAATATGGTAAAACATTCAACAAAATTACAATCTCTTTAAATAAGATAACATAAAATTATGACTTTTGAAATATTCAATATAAGTTTTACTGTACTTTGAATTAGTGTATAGTATACACTGTATACTGACTATTAATTTTAAGACTATTTTTTATAGAAATAATGAATAATTTTTGCAAAAGTTTATAAATTTTGCAATTTAGTTTATTTATTTTAGTTATTAATTTTAATTATACCAGTTATTTATTCATTATATTTTCTTAATTATTTACAAGTTTTACCAACAGTTTGACTGTAAGTAAGTGTATTTAAAATGATTTACTAAAATTTTAGGTCAAATTCTAAAATTGTCACAAAATTAAATCAATATTAAAGCTTTTCATAATTTCATAAAAATTATATACTATATATATGATATATATATATATATTGTATAATTCAATGACAATTTTTATTTTAGATAAAATCATTTTATATTTTATTGTAATTTGTTTTTAAATTATGATTTTTTATTTTAGAAAAATATTGTATTGATTTTAATAATAATATTCTTTGACATAAACCCTTCAAATATACGATTAAAAAATCAATAATTATCAAGGATTTTACATTTGCATTAAACTTAATATTAGTAATATTAATAATAAGAAAACTAACAAATTTATAATAATGATAATTTTATCTAAATTTTAACACTTTCTAATGATGTTCAAAGTTTAATATTTTAACTTGAAAACACAATTTTTATTGAGAGTTATTAAAATTACTTATTTATTAAATTGATAATACAGTATATATATAATTATGTAATATACAGATAATTATATCTAAATGACAATACCTTTAAGGGATTGTTGTGTTTTGTGGTGAACCGTTTGGTTTTCATATTTTTGTAAGTGGACAAACACTTCCCCCATTTGGTAGGCGCCCACAGAAAAGGCATGAAATATAAATGTTGAATATTTTGTTTCGTTATCTTTGAGAAAATTGACGATATCCTGTGCCACGATATGACTGCCCCGACTCGGTATAAGAAAGTCAAGTACTTGTATCTTAACAGTCAGTACATCAAAACCTTTTTGTATGTATAGTTTGCGATATTTATCCAAATGTCTTTCTTTGGCAAAAAGCCACGCAAACAGCACAAGTAGTTGTCTTTTGACATCCCTGTCCTCACTGTGATTATCTTCACATGAATAAAATGTTAGGTTTTGACTTATTGACAACTTTTCCTTTTGAAGTTGGCTCTGGTATATAAATGTTTATAAAGTTAATATAAGCGTTTAATATAAATGTAATACAATATCAATAAATAAAAGACTAATTGTCTATTATATACAAACTTATCGATTGATCTAATTGTTAGAATAATTAATGACAATTATTAACAAATTGTCACTTACTTGTCATTTTTTAATTTATTTTATTCATAATTGATCAGGTAATTAGTTAAACGGTAAATCAGCTTAAATAAATCAATAAAATATTAATATTTTTATTTTTATGTGATTTTTCAAATTTGCATAATTTTTTTAAATATTTACCACTTTATTAACTAAAACTAAATGTTAGAAATTAATATTGTCAATATATTATTAAGCATTTATTAAATAAACATTTAAAATTATTTATAGATATATGTTATAATTACATTTGTTTAGATTATATCATAAATATTTTACTCAAATAAAATCAAAGAAAATAAAAGTAATTTATTATTATTATATTAATTATAGTTAACATACAATTAAATGTATGTTAATTTTAGGAAAAAAATCTATTTGAATATTATAAACGTAATTATTATTTTGTATGCTAAATGAATATTGAGAAATGAAATGTTTGAAGTAATATATTTTAAATAAAACTAAATATTAAAAAATAATAAAGCATTTGAAAATTAATACTCATAAAATTATTAATTAAAAAGCTTTTAATCTCTATTATAAATTTATTAACTCCTACTATGAAATATAATCCTTAAGCTTTATTGAAAAAATAAATAATTTAAAAATACTTACTTGATTTTGATGTGAAAATGTTGTATAATTGTTGAATTTAATAATTGACTTTCTACTCGTTGCCCTAAAATAGTAATTATCACATAATATTTGTCGTTTTATTATAAGTGTCAAAACTGATAATTTTGATGACATTAATTTGCGATTATGCTTATTCAAATAAAATAATTATTATTATATACATATATATTTATTTATAAATAATTTTTATAGTGTTATAAAATTTAAAAAATGTAAAATAATGCAAACTTTTACTTTTCAAATACGTTTAATTACTGATAGAAATTATTGAATAAATTATTTAGTTTAAAGCAAAAGTTGAACTAAATATGAAATTCAACATAACTATAGAGGAAATGAAAAGTTATTTTTAAATAACATGAAAATAAGTAGTTTTTAATAAAACTTATCAAACTATTTGGGCAAATAAAGCGACAGATCCGGCAATTAAACTAAACATATATTTTATATTTAAAGTAAATATTGTAAATTATATATAAAAATTTTAACCATTATTTTAATATTTATTAAAAAGTAAAATAAATATACGTAGACTCGTTGGTGTAAATAAAAAATATGGTTAAATTGTTTAGTTTTTTAGATAATAATAAAGAAATTATTTTTGTATTAGTCATACCTTCGGTGATAAATTAGAAATAATGATAATAAAAATGAAATGCAAACAAAAATTATTGAATCCATTGGATGAAAGTCAATATGAATTAAAATTTAATTAAAAGCTCATGTGTTTACTTCACAAAACAAATAGTCACACAATTTATTACACAAAATACACTTTATATAAAACATTGAATACATAAAATTTACAAAACATTTTTCCAGTTTTTCACAAATAATAAATAAACATTTTATGACATTACAAAAAACCTTTATATAATTTTAAATATTATATAATCTTTATATCATATAACTTGAAATGACATTGATTAGCATTGAATTTATATATCATCAATATCTGAATCTTGATTTAATGATAGCGACTTTACAATGCATTAAAAACTATTTATAAAATATACATATAATTATTTAAAAAGTTATAAATTATTAAATAATTATAAAATTTGTAATTATCACGTTTCCAAAGTATAAATGAATTTAGTAAATTTCATTATATAAAACATAGTAAAAATCAGTTTTTAACTAATACATATATATATATAACTATTATATATATATGTATGATATAAACTTAAGATTTAAAATGGAAGTCAAAAAATAAGAATTTATTTATATTTATATATATATATACTGTATATCTCTGTAAAAGTTGCTGTAATATAACGGCATATAACAGGTATACCAAAAAATATCAAATCGTATACTTCTATTAGGAACTAGTTTTGTGAACTTCAGGCTATTTTTGATGTCACATAAAAATCAGTTATAAAGTATATACAGTATAATGTAAGTAAAAGCATAGATATGAACCTCATATTTGGGTAAATCTTTACCAGAGGACCAGTCAAGCCTTTATTTCATAGTATATAAAAACAGGTCCACTAATTGACTTTCTTTTAGTGATATCAAACACTTGTAGTATACAAACACTTGTGTTACTGTTTTATTAACAGTAAGTGTAATATAAAGCCATTCCGCAGAGATTATATGAAATCCAATCCCACACCTGTTTTCATATTTTTGTCCTTTTATTTATTAGTTATCTATTTATAGTTTTAGATATATTCACACAATATATATATAAACAATTCATATTTACTGTTTATTAATTGCAAAACTTTGCTAAAAATATTTTAGACATAAAGATTTTTAGTCTATTTTAGCTTTTCAGTTATGTTAACTTTATTTTAACAGTAAATAATTTTCAGACAAAATAATTATTGTAAAAATTATTTTTGTTTATTTGCCACTCAATCATTTGAAACAATGTTTCTAACAATTTGTTATAATTTTATCTTATGTTATATTCATAATACTTATGTTTAAAAAAAGTAAATAAAATAACAATTTATGAATAATGACATTTCAATAACAATATTGGTTGTAATTTTCGTTAAACATTTGTATTATACAAATTGTTACTCAAAAGTCCTAAATATTTAATGTTTTTTTTAATAATTGTATTGTTTAATAAAATGATCGCCATTGTAATCCATTAAAAAATATTTAAAATCTTATTTTAAAACACATGAATAACAAAAATAAAACTTTTTTGCTTTTTATTTCCTATTGACTAAAAAATAATAATGCAAATAATAAAAAATTTTGTATATAGTATTTATATTAATTTTTATTTCAAATGATAAATTATTGTATTTGTAAATAAATAATATACAAAATCTCGTATTATAACTTTTAATTGTAAATATAAAAATAATTATTTTTTATGTGAATTGGTAATTTTGTATTTATTAATAATATTACTTAATATTATTAGTATATATTTTGCCATCAGGAAAACAGACTAATTTTATTTGAATTATTAAATGATTTATTATTTGAATGATTGCATTAAACGATTATATTCTCATTTTTTATATGTTAATAAAATTAGTTTTTTAATTAAATAAATATAGATATCAATAGAAATATAGCCTAATTTTATTGCTTATTATGGAGTAATAAATATTAATTTGAAAGTACTGTGAGACTGGCGATCGTACCAATCAATCAATTTCATGACTGTCTATAGGATTTAATAGACCGTAAGTCAACAACAAACTAAAAACTAATTAAATTAGCAATAATTTGAATTTTTAGTAAAAGTGAAATCCATATATAAAATGTTTTTATCAAAATTTTATACACTAATTACTATTTATAAAATTTAATTATTATAATAGACTTAAAACAAAACAAGAATATAGAGTTATTATCATTATTATTAAAATTGCTGAATATTATTATTATTTGTTATTTCGCTTTATGGATAATAATGTATAATATTTTTATAAACATAGTTATCTTAATTATTTCCTTAAATAATAATAATAATAACTGAATAATAATGACTTTAAAACTTAAACAACATTTGATTGCCTTTATTGTTGTGTGTATTTTATATGAATCTGTAATAAGTAAGTATTTTGTATAATCTGTTTTATAATAAAGTGTTGTCGAAATAATATTTATATAATTATAATATATATAATTATTATTGTAATTATTAATTTAAACGTATAGTTTAAATAAATGAAAAAATGATAGATATCCACTAAATAATTTTATTATATTCACAAAATTTTACTTAATCTATAAAGTAAAGATAAATAGATTTAAATTATTATACAAATTAAATATAAATCTATAGTTAAAAATATTTTTTATTGTTATATACTTGCGGTGTAATATTACCCCATTTTCATTTACACTATTAAATAAGTTTCATTGAATGAAATTTTGAAAGAAACTGTTTAAAGTCATTTATTATAACTATTTTTATAAGTTAACATTTTAATACTATAAAATAATTTATTATAATATACTAATAATTATTATAGAAATATAATTGTTAGAAAATCTAAACTTTATTCTCATATTTATTTGTTAGAGAAGTGTGAGTAAAAATAGTAACAAAACAATTGAATGATAAAACTAAATAATAAATTATTGTATATTATAACTTATACAAATAAATTTTATATATTAATATAATTATAACTTTGATATTAAGTAGAATTTCATGATTTTGGTTAGCATTAAATGAAAATTATTTTTATTAGATAATTTTTTTTTATTTTTTAAAGATTAAATTAGATTAAAAATTATTATATTTTTATTATAATAAAAAAATTATTTTTTGTTTTATGTAATATTTAATTTATTATTATTATTTTACCGCACACTACTGTATGCTTCGTTTAAAAAATAAATTAAGATTACAAAGAAAAAACTTACTTAAGATAAAGTCAATTATTTTATAAATTTAGGTCAAAGAGGACCAACAGATAGCCGTAAATCGAAACCAAAGTTGAAACCACGTCCACGAACTCGACAACAACGGGGACGACAACCGTTTCCCGAAGAATCAACTGTTCAACGAACCAATTGTTACTTCTGTTCAGTAACTTTTGCTACAAACAAACCCCGAAGTTTGGACATCAATAACCTGTGCTATAATCCGGCCAAAAATTTTACGGCCGCCGACATTGAATATCTGACCGCATGCTCTCAAACGAGCAGATATTGCGCGGTTGACATTACTCGGGTCGGCGGCGGTCTCGTCACTATTGATCGCAAGTGTGGCGGAAGTACTTGTAATTATTTTTGCAGTAATAAGGCGTATGGCGTTGAGGTCGAGACCTGTACCCACTGTTGTCCCGGAAAGCCAGTCATCACTCCTGACCAACTCGAAGAAGGACAAGTAATCCCACCCTATAAATGCCCTTAAATTCAATGTAATGTAAAATATTTTCAAATAATATTATTGATAAACTTTAAATTTGCTAATTAAATTGCAACAAATTTTTAAAGTAAACAAAATTAAATTTTAAAAATATGCGTTAGTTTTATGTACCACTTTTTTGGTAATTATAATAAATATCTATTAGTTAAAAACATATTAATATAATTATCTAATATATTTTTATTATTTAAATAATTTTCATTTTTGTTGTATTTGATTCAAATATTTATTATTAATATATAGGCATTTTTATGGCATAAAGTTTATACAAAATATAATAATAGACATACAGTATATTATTTATATTATTTATAGTATATATTTTTATATTATGACTACACGTTTTATTTTATAACTGTTTAAAACATTAAAGAATTAGTTAATGACTATTGAAATGTACTGTATTTTAAATTATTTAGTTTATTATATAGAAAATTATTATTTAAGTTATCCATAAAATCTAAAACTTTTTCCTGAAATACAAAAAACCAAAACATTCAGACAAAATGCAATTATGGTATTACTGTACAACTATTTATCATTTATTAAGATTTATGAGAAAAATAAATAATTATAGTATATTTTCAAATGGGAAATAAATAAATCAAAATTTATATAATATTTAGAGTAAAATAAATCAATAGAATTATATTAGCCAGTTCTATAAATATAACAGCAAATATATAACGGTATATATATTTATTTATTATTTAAAAAATATGCTAAAACAATGTATAATTTCAAATACTGTTTATCTTAATAATAAGATTACAACACATTTTATAGAATATGTAAATAATATAAATATATAATAAAGTGAAGCATTATATAATTATTTGGTAATAAAAAATTTAATTTCAATAACATTTATAAACTTTCTTATTAAAATGATTATTTAGTACAGTATTTCATAGAAAACAAAATTATTTATTAAAACATTTATTAATATATAATCTAATTTATTAAAATAAAATCAAAAAACATTTTCAATATATTAATTTGTTACAAAAACATTAAACTTTAAAAAATAAAAATATTTTAAACACTGATAATATTTACATAATTTAACAAATATTATATAAAAGTAAATATCATTAAAAATAACTAAAATATTTCTTTTCTAAACTGAAATCCAAATTGAGTGCAAATATGTCGGAGACTTCGGGCCAGATCTGGTCGGCCACAGAAAAACACAGTAATTCTACCTTTTTTCTTATCGGCCATATTTTTGAAGAATTTGTTCCAATCGGGTCTTCCCTTATGCCATGTGAGGGCTGCTCTCATGTCTTGAGTTTCGTTACTGATAGGACCGGTCACCTGAATACTGGACCTCCTTTGCTGATAAGTTCCTTGAGTTATATGCATATGTATATCGAGAAACCTTTCTGTTTCGCGCCACTCCTCTTGTTGTTTCTCTAACTCAGACAACAGTGTGACAAACCATTCAAAACTTGTCTGATCCCTATTAATCCACATGAAATCAACTTTTTTAAGTTTCATAACATTAGGTGGTATAGGATCAGACCAACTGTGAGCACACTTTGGACAGTCACGTTTAGCCTCAATGTATCGGAGCATAATTGACTGTAATATACTGGCAAACGGTGTCACTCCAATACCTGTGGCTATAAGTATAGCGTGTTGTGTATGAAAAATATGAGAAGAGGGCGATCCATACGGTCCATCCAAACGTACTTTCAATGGTTTGTCTAAAATTATGGCATTCTTTAGGATAATATCTTTTGTTGGCGAAGATCTTAATTTGGTCAGTGATCTAAACGATACTTTATTGATAGGAGAAGCAGCCATTTCAATGTCTTTCTTTTTCCTCTCAATTAATGCTAGTTTTCCACAACCAAACTCATTACAGTCAACGGGCACAGGGAGTACCATAACCTTAGCATTCATATATAGATTGTTCAACGATTGGGTTTGTCTTGTATTCAAAGTAATAGAACTTTTAGTTCTTCTAAGTGGTGAATGATTTGTATCGTCATTATCATCAACAATACGATTACTACTATTTTCAATTGAACTTCTGGTGCTTATCTGAGAGATTCGCTTTTCTAATATAAGACTAGCTTTAATGGTTCCCTCAGTATTAAAGTAGTTATGTAAACGATTAGTCCATTCACCCACAGCACGGATATGAAGCCAAAGAATATCTAAAAATATTAAATCAAATAATTGTTTTAAAATAGTAATAAAGACATCAAATAAAGTATTATGTAATGTATTACCTGATTGTTCGGGTGCACTACTAATAGTCAATGGATGCCATTCATAGGGTGTAATAGTAGGGATTTGAACATAAATGTAATCTCCGGGTCGGAAATAAAAATTAACCGGACGTTTAACAATTAGTTGAATAACACGGGAGGGCAATACAACTCCCTGTTCAATGTAAGTAAGGCCGCGATCACCCGACCAAGTCTTGGTTATCCTAGTTATCCATTCGCTCACAAACACAATTAGTGGACATAAAAACCATTTCCAAAATTTCGGGCCGTGAATGAAGAGACAAATATAAAATGGTATATAAAGTAGATGTGAATAATAAAAGACCTATTAATCAGAGAAAATATCTAATTAATATAAATATCAATATAAAAATAGTTTAACATATTTTAGCAATTTTACAAAAATATTTTAAAAATCCTACTTCAAAATAACCAGATCTTCTCATGAATGGTTGCGCCGGTATCATCATTACCATTAGTATAATCAATAATAACCATCCAGTTAGACACGCGGCCCCACCAATCCATCCAATGCCAAGTCTTGTAGAAAACAAATACTGTGACCAAGAAATGGGTGTCGTTTGGGACAGATATCTGAAGTTCATGACATGCATTACAGTGTGAAAGATACTGTAGAAGACAATGAGCCAACCCATCAGTTTGTGAAAATAAACGTAATGATCGAGTGGCAGAAATTCACTCAATCCAATTGATCTCAACTTTGTAATGGATTTTCTCAGCACACATACTATTATGAAGGCACACATAAAATTAAGGCACTGGCCATTAGACCGGGCCATCATTACTAGCCATCCCGACTGTCGGTACTCATAGGCCCGATAAATGAATAAAATCAAATTAAATACTATTAATAACCACAAAAAGACAACACTTTGTATATTATTTCGGATGTAATTCCAGTTAAGTTTCAGAAAAATTGAAGTCATTTTTATTTTATTTGACAAAAACTATTTACAATATTTATTATACTTCAAAAAATTGCTTTTTGTTTGTAATACAGTAAATAGTAATTTAATTAAAAAATAACTATAAAATGAAGTTCAAACTCAATACTTTAAATGTTTGATTAATTGATTATTTGCTATACTTTTATTTTACTTTATGTACTCTACTTAATACTAAGTTATTTATAATAAATTTTAATATATTAGTAATGGTATAATAGCAATGGAAATATTATTTAATCTTTTTTAGCAAATGTTGCTAAAAATTGTCAACAAAAAAAAAATGTTTCAGTAATTTATTGATTTTATATTTCATGTGAATTTTTTATTGTTATACAAACTGATTAGATCAAATAAAATATTTAGTATTAATTAAAAAAAAACTTTTTAGCAAATTTATATACAGTATCAATAAAATATAAACTTTATATGACATCAGTACAGTAGATATTAATGTTGTAATTGATTTGAAACCTAATTTTTAGGTCAAATATCTCATTGATTTTTTTCAATAGATTTTCTAACTTTAGGCAAACTTGAAATCTCATTCAAATTAAATAATTTAATGACTCACTCTTTTTTTGTACAAATAATAATAGTGTATATACAGTGTGTGTACTTAAATCAATAGATATTCTATTTAATTAATAATCCAAAATTTCTCCACTAATTAAACAAATTGTGAACTAGTTTTTCCAGATTTCTATTTTAACTATAGTTTTGCAGTAATAGAAAAATTGGGTTTTGATTACAAATGAAATTCAAAGTAAAATAAACCAATTGATATCATATAGCATATACTGTACTTAATTTCAAAATGAAATTGAAATTGTTTGTCTACTTTTTATGAAAACTTTCCCCCAGTAGAGACCCCTTTAAACATATTTAGACAAAAGATTAACGACACCGAAATCTAATCCGTTATTATTACTATTAATTATACTAATATGTAGTCTATCATACTATACAGTATATAGTCTACTATATGGACTAACTGTCCACTAAAGATTATTTATGAGGCTTAATAATGATATTGTTGACCGGGTCACCCAATTGATGCCATAAATAGACAATCAAATAGGAAATATAACCATAAATACAATAATATAGTATAAATGAAATCAACTATAAAAGCAAGATTGAAAAATAAATTTTAGCTAATTTTAGTAACTGTATCCAATAAATCACTTAAATTTTAACTTAACAGTGACTTATAAATTATTAGTTAAAATGTATTTCAAATATATAGCATTAGTTGCAGTAATTATCCAATTGATTGACTGTTCGCCAGTTATTGAGACCAACTGTACAGCTGTTGAGTCAATTGATGGTAATGTTGGTGTCGAGTGTGAGCCTAAAGAGACAAACAATACCACTTTTGAACCGGTAGTTATTCAACAGCATTACGTCGATTTGTTTGGCGGTCGGGCTAAGCGTGATGTCAACAATACGATTATACGGCCAACTATTCGTGTGTCTGAACTCTTCATACAGAACCTGGCGGTCATGAATGAGGCAAATATGAGTGAATGTATGGACAGATTTAACTGCGAAGAAAAGTGTGAATTAATTGCTAAAGAATTGGTCAAAGAATCGCCGGAAGACACACAAGAGTTTGACGGTTTGGAGGATTTGCCGCAATATGTCCGCAGCTTTTACGAGTCCGGACGTAAAGGCATGGAATTGGGACGAAACAAACGGTGCGATGTTTGCATGCAATTACACTCCCAGTGCTCTGCTATGCAATACGAGTATACCATCCGAACCAATAACTTATACAAAGAGCTTATTGATAAAAATGTGACTCTTTTTGAGGAAAACGCACCCAAAGGTGATATGCCTTCCGATATGATATATTTGCATCAATCGATGCGTTTTCTTGATTTGGCAAACTTGAGTACATGCTATGCACGTGTCACGTGCGAAACTATCTGTCAACAAACTAAGATGAACCCCAACAATGAGGCCCCGTCTGTGAAGTCACCGATTCTGGAGAACGATCCCAACAAACCCGCGAGTGTTGATATCATACATAGCGGAGCCATTCTTGGCTATACATTAGCCTTTAATGGAGTTTGTGAGACATGTGGTATCAATTTTGCTGATTGTCGAGAGGACAGGTATGCAATTGCCCGTATGAGTGCCATCATCTTTAATTAAATTAACTAAATATTATCATAAATTTCCAATTTTATATTAAATTTAAATGAAAAATTATTTTGTATATAAAGATTTCAAAAAAATAAATTTATTATCAAAAAATTCCATTTATAATTATAATTGTTTTTAAAATATCAATATTCATTAAAATCTTATAAATTTTTAATGAAATATCATCATATCTGAGTTTTATTTATATGTTATATTAATTATTAATTAATTATTTATTTTTTATTTGATAAACAAAACAATTTAAAATATATCTGAATCTAAGAATTTTGAACTCAATGTTTAATATTTAACAACAAAAATATTTAATTTAATTTATATATATAAATGTTTAATGCCATAAATTATCATATAATGAGGTGAATGGCAAATATATACAGCTTAACAGTATACAAATAATTAATATTTTGACATATACTACTATTAACATTTACATTACATGCTTTTAATAATAAATGCATTATAAGTTATTATATGAAAATTAAGAAATAAAATTATTAAATTTAAAATTAATTAAATTAACATAAAGTATTTATCATAAGTCAAGACACCACTAATACTGTATGTTATATAAAAATAATAAATATAAGTGATTATAATAAAAATGTCTTTAATAATCAATTATTCTTTATATTGTGAGATATTTGCAAATAGAAGAGTTCAATAACATATGCATTGTATAAATACAGTATATAATAAAAAGTTAATTTAATTAATATATTTTTCATATTTTTATTAAAAATAATTGTAATGTGTAAACAATTTTGCTAATTTTACAATTCTATTATTTTGAAATATTAAAATTATAATTTTGTAGTTAAAAAATAATTAATTAAACATATTATTAATAAATGTAACAAAATTTCTGTCTTTTCAGTAATTTATTATATTTATATGACTAAAAAACATTTATAAATCAATTTGTGACAAAGTATTAATATAATTGCTATAATAACAAGAATATTTGAGTAAAACTGAAGCATATAATATATATATATAAGTTATATAAATACTAAAAATTATTATATATATATATATATATTTTTAACATACATATATATATATATATAGTTTACTGTAATATTATATAACATTATTATATATAAGAATTTTTCTCTATATTTCCGCATTTATATCATAACACAAATCATTTTTATGCATTTAAACTCATTTGCCTTTATTTTTATTATAATCTTTTTTATTGAAATAACTATTAAAGTCTATATAATCTAAGTTTATATAAGCTATAGTACATTGCATACAATAATATACTATATAATCATTATATTTGCCATATTTTTATAAACATCAAACAAATGTTATTTGTATAGCAATTTCGTATATATTTTACATAATTAAAACAAAATTCATTTATTAGTTTAATATATCATAATTATTTTGACTTAATTAATTGTTAGATAAAATAAAAAATATCAAAAAATCATTTATTTTTTAATATTATGCATTATTATTAAATTAATGATTATATGTTGAAAATAACCACTTTTTATTAAAGATTTATTTATCAATTTCTGTTATATTATTTGAATATATATTTCATTTGTTGAAATGTTGAAACACACATAATATAAAAGACTACTATTTACTACTATAACAGCTATTTATAAGAATAAAACTTAATAATATTATACAGACATTGCTATTTTAATTTTAGTAATTTGTATTTTATTCAAATTATAATACAATTGTATTAAAAATAAAATTAGAAATATATATATATTTAAATACTTTACAATTTCAATTTATTAAATTGAGTTTAATTTAAGTTTAAATCTTAAATTAATTAAAATTGGACCAAAGTTTTAAATATTAATTATAAATGTTTATAAATAGTTTAATTTCTGTTATTTTTAGAAAAGTTTGAATTTGTTCACTATTTGCTTTTATTGTATGTATTGTATTTAGAGATGGGCAAATAGAAAGTTTCTAATAAATTTCCCTGAAAAAGTTTCTAGAAAGTTTCTCAGGAATAAATTTCTATAGAAATTTAACTTTTTTGTTATACTATGGGATCCCCATATCTATAGATATTGTAAAACTATAAATATATTAATGAGACATATAATACTATACATATAATATTATACTATATAATGTAGATTACTGTATAATACTATATTATACAAATGGGATACCTATATAAATAATTATAATTATTTAATAATAATCAGTTTTGTAAAATTTTATTCACCATTTTATTATATCATAGTTTAATATAATTAAATAAATAATTTTTTTACTTTAATTAATAATTAAAATACTGATACTAATATTTAAATATTACTTATAAAAACAATGTTAAAGATAACAAATATCGACAAAACAAAATTAACATGGGGATCCCATAAATAGAAATTTCTTTTAGAAACTTTCTAGAAATTTCTCTATTATTTTATAAATTTCTCTTTTTTGCCAACACTAATTGTATTTGAGTAAAATACTTTATAGAGTAAAGTATATATAGTATGTTTATATATATATAATAAAYATGATATAATATACCTTATATATATTATTATAATATATGTAGAAATATTTTAGTTGTGGTAATAATAATAATAATAATAATAATAATAATAATAATAATAATAATAATAATAATAATCAAATAGTTATTATATTTATGCGTTAAACGGTTGTTTCCAAGGTAGCACTGGTAGTTCAAAGACATTATAAGACTAACCAACCTAACAAAAGACAAGTAACAAAACCTATATATAAAGTTTGGATAAATTTTGTATATAAAATAAATCATCACCTTTTATACAATTATTAACTCTCTAAACATTGAATTGGATAAACATATGTCAATACTTTAGTGAATAGTAAATTCATAAATTATTTTTACAAAAAATTGTTATCAATTTGAAACTTTGTGTCAATAGTTGAATACAATAATCGAAATGATGCCTGACTTTAGAAAACATCTGTTTTTGGCGTTAAAAGTATTATTTGTGATCTTTGTTGTTATACTTATGATATTATGGATAGTAATAGCCGTACAATCGGTCAAAGAGTTGCAATCGTACGAAACATTAGGGAGAAAACAGGGCACACAAGAAAAGGGCAAGTTTTATGATAAGCAATGGTTTGAACGGAATCGGTCTATGGTTATAGTCAACACACTATTCTATGAAGCCATCGCACTGGTAGTCATTGGTGGTGTACTCATAAATTATAGATACATAGCTCACATGTCAATCATAGTATTGATCATTCATTGGTTTGTCAATCACAACCGATTAGCTGAAAATTCATGGATTGCAAGCAAAGAGTTCACAGCTTCTCATATCATCCACTTCTTGATTTGGGTGTCGGGACTTGTGCTCATATACTTCATCAAAGAGTCGACTGGTAGTGATGTTGATGATAGTGGTAATAGTTTTAAAGAATCTTTGAAGAGTCGCTCAAAAGTAGCTAATGGTAACCCAAACGGCAATTCTAAAGCATAAAAAACAGTTGTATTCAAAATATATCTGTCCTCAAAAAGGGGTTTGTCTTAAAAGTATTAATAGTATTAATAGTATTTTCATTATTTTAATAGAATTTGTTTTAATTTTTTATTTATTTTAATGAAAATATTTTCCTTTCCTTTACTTTACTTTAATTTCATTAAAATCTAAATATTTATTTTATAAATCTATGACTTTAAATATATAATATTTACACAAACTGTGTGTAAACTTTTATTTGAATTTATATTTAATTATAGAGTAAATTATGTTAATTTCTAAAATAATATTGATAAGAAATTTGATAACAAAACATTAATGTGGGTCAATTTAAATTCTCTATAACTTTCCATTTATTAAATAAAGTCTATCATAAATAGTTTATTGTGTGAGATAAAACAATTTGCATCTAAAAAACTATATTAAATATTAATAATTTTATAGAATATAAAAGCTATTATAAATGTTATAATTTTTAAAAGATTGTTTTGAGGAATATTTAGGTCATTTGTTTGTGGGATTAATCAATCAATAAGTGTGTTATTCCGTTAGCAATAAAAACACGAATATCGACTAATATTTAATGTATTCCTAATGCATGTTATGATGTGTTAAATGAAAGTTTGAAATATTTGTAAGATTTAATGATTGAAGTCTTAAATGTTTTATGAAATTATCGTACAATTTATGCATATATTTAAGCAACAATTTTATATTGATATTAATAGTGTTATCTAGCTTATATTTGGCAAAAATTTTTATTTCATATATAAGTTTACTTATTAATATTTTAAAAATAGTTTCTTAACCAGTTATAACAATTTTCTAGTAAACAAAATTTATACTGTCTATTATATAAAACTCTTAATATTATGTAATATAATATAAAATATTGCATTAAAGATTATAATATCGATTGACAAGTTATAGTGAAAGAGTAATTAGTATATGTAATGCTTGAATACAATATTACAGTACATAGAAAATTGTATTTTTTAAACAATACATATTAATACTGTATATGAATTATAAACAACAACATACAGTATATTAGAAAACGTATCAATGATATTATAAAAGCACAGCAATCTTAATAACTATTATATTATATTTATAGTAAAATAAAATTATTATTATTCAATTCATTCAATTTTATATATACAACAAAAATCACTATACAGTATATAATGTTATTATATTATTGATATTTACTGAAAATATGTGTAAATCAATATACTGTATAGTAATAGATAGTGTATAAATAATAACAATAATACAGTAGTATAACTAATTTAATATCAATAATACTCTTTTATGTAACAAAATTATCTTTAAACTAATAAATTTTACTTAATTTAAGTAAAAACATTATTTTATTTATTTATTATATCTATTTTGAAATTTTATTATAATTTACATTTTAGTGTTTTTTAGTTATTATATACCGGTACTAACATTATTTTATACTAATTTTATAATAGTCATATTAATGTACTAAATTATTAATGTAAATTTATTTAATTTTAATTCTTATATAAAATAATAAAAATTAAATCATAAAATAAGTATATCAAAATTATTTCACAAAATAATATAAACAATAAAATAATAAAACTTAATAAACAATATAATACAATAAAAATGTACATGTATAAATAAAATTGACTTTTTTTTGCCAATGCATCTTTGATTGATAATTGTTATCACAATTTGTTGTTTGTATTTAATGATTGATTGCAACACATAATATACTCTAACAATATATAATTGCCTCAAATAATTCAATATTCAATAAATTAGACTATAAAATGTGAATTATTTGCATGATATTTGTGATTGGGATCACATGGGATCAGCCACCAAACCATAGGTCCCGTTCCACACACTTCTGTCATTAACTTTTTAGCTTTCAATTTAGTAGTCTTTGTTGTCAGAGACGATGACTTGTGGTCTTGACTTTTGCTCTTAACGTATCTGTCTATAGCAGTCTCATTGGCACATATAGCCTGAATCTGTATACAGAATATTCATTAGTAAAACAAATATTTAAATTGAAAATCAAATATTAAAAAAGCCTTTTCACAAATTGATAAACAAATAACTGGAAAACTACCTGATCAGTGAGCACTGCCACTACAAATAGACCAAATAGTAGGGCTTCTATGAGCAATACACTCGTATGTATCCTAATGTATGAAATATAATTTTTAAAAATAGGTATAAAATTCAATTATAAAATTTTTATAATCTCTTATTTGCAAAATTGTAATTTTAAATTAATTTATAATTACATTCTTTGTTGAGAATCGAGTTTGGATTTGAGGAAAGACCATATAATTGATAATAAAATATATATACAGGCAGTACCTATGTTTGCATACAATATACAGGTATTTAATCAATAATAATTTGGTTGTATAATACAGTAATAATAGTAAATTTTAGCTATTGTTTTATTACCTGTATATACCAAAAATAATATGAAATATTTCTGATTCAGTTCTCCAACACAGTTATTAATCCTACAAATTATATATATATTTAATATCATATTCATATATTAAGTCAAATTTTTAAGATTAAACACAACAAATGTAGGTAAATATTAGTTAGAGATAATCAAGTTATTGAGGACAGGGACGTGAGGGAGACGACTGGTTTTGTGTTAAACAAACATTTAAAAAAACATTGAAAAATTCAATTTAAAAATATTATCTATGAATAACATAAGTAAAACGTTTTGCAATAAATATTAGAAATTACGGTAATATAAATTTAGATGACAATCATAATTAAATCATTAAAATTATAAATATTTATTAGTATTGGGAAAGGCATACCACGGGCAGTGGTGATCCATTTTACGGACACACCGCTCACATATACGGCAGTGGTGTGCGCGCGGAGGTCTATACATCTGACAGCGGGAACACACCGACCAATTGTGGCCACTGTTGTCATCTTTTTTAGCAAATAAATGATTTGAACTGAGATCCTGTCCGTTGTCTTTATGTTGCGGTTGCGGTACAACTCCCGGGTCGCTGATCGATGCCTTCAGGTGTGACCATACAAGCAATAAAAGGATTAACTGAAACAGTCCTATACTTATGACTATTGCCCACAAACTATAAAATTAAAAAACAAATTATAACTATTTAATACAATTATTAAAACAATACTATTACTGGTATTACTAATTATACCTCACATCCAATGGTAATACAATCCATTGAATAAATGCATAGTCAGTATATATGACAATCAAATATATGGATATTAGACAAGTGATGCCACACGGATCACACCGCGACCGGGACACTGTCATTACGGATAAATATAACTCAGATAACCATATTATTACCGATACTTTAAGCTCAGGTACTAAAACCTAACTGTACGGCAAAGCATTTGCTGCATTAAATGAGGGACCGTTTAGTTAGTGCTGTAATACAACATTCAATAATAAAGTATATTAACATTTCAAGGCAAACAACATATCATTACTATTAAAGTTAGTTTAAATTCATTTTTGGGAAAAATTACTTTTTTTGTTTAATTATTCAATTATATATATTTTGTAATACTATTGTGTAATTAGTTATATATGAAATAGAATATACAGTCTATAAAAATAATTATATAATGAAATATTATTTTTAAAAATTACTAATGAATTAATTTACTTATTCTTATACTACTGTATATTACAATAAGTAGTGTAAAGCATAATATAAAATTAAATTATCGGTTGAATATTGAAATGATTATTAAATAAATTATTAAATCATTTTATGGCAAATCTTTGTTATAAACAACAAATTGAAAAACATTTATATTGTATAATATTACTATTTATTAAACATTAATCAATAATTAATTAGTACTTTAATCATATATTACTGATATTAATCTTTTGTCCATTTAATGCATAGACATATACATCATTGTCTGAATTATTGTTTAAATTAAACCATTGATTTAGTATACGTTTGGAGTATTTGTCAGTTTTGGACTCTAATCTCGACTTATCATTCAAAATGCTGTTTATTTCAAGTTTTGCTATTTGATCGGATCGTTCACCTAATGTCGCACCCGATGTCGTCGCACTGACCACTCGCTCGGGTTTCTTCCGATTTGTGTTGCCAACGGTAACAGTTGTGTCTCTGCATTGACACTCACTTTGGAATAGTTCACAAACACGTTGTCCTTCATTGGGACATATCTTGAAATTTTCAAAATCAATGTTTTTATCAAATTTCAAATTAATCAATAGCTTCTTAATCACTTCTAAGTAGTCATTAGTCTGGGGATCAAATGGAGTAGATAATAGACCTGGCGATGACCTCATAGACCGGTCTCGATAGTGAGAATCACCGTTACTATCGACGACAGGTTCGCTAAAATCCCAGTCAAAGTCTTGCATAAAAATGTCTCCAAATTGTGTCAGCAGTGACACTGAAAACCCAGATTTGTCGGGGCTGTCAACGAGTTCGACGCCGCGTAAGAAATATTTGCGAAAATCAGGAAAACTTATATCCTGTGGATCGCTGACCAACAGTGGTAAGTGAAGGGATGACGGATTAGTCATTTCTTTTACGGATTCAAATGAAAACAATAAATTGTTATAACTGTTGGACGCAATTAATAGTTCCCGTTTGTGATCGCCTTTTTCAATAATCACTGATTTTATATTATTGATCATCGATTTCTTCATGTGTCGCATCTGAAGTAACTGTAATTAAGAAATAAATGATTAATTTTTTACAATCAATAAAATTAATAACATTCAAGTATTGTACACTGCGTTTCGGATTTCGCCAGTCAACCACAAATAGGTGACAATCGGTTGCGACAAACTGTTGATTTGGATTCAGTTGGGATTGACTGAATTTGGTCATCAGTTCCCAGACGTGAAACGTTTTATAATCGCCGATATTATTGAAAACAGTGACAACTGGACTACCGGGAAGTCGTGAATCGCAATACAGTAGACGATTGTCTTCGCCATAGAAAAATTGATGATTATTAGAAGAATCCCATTGAAGACCGGTTTGTTGATCACCGCTAGATATAGGTTGGCGACCACCAAATGTTTGGTCATCATAGGTATCGATTACTTTTCCTACTTCTATGTCATAGCAATGTATGACATTCCAGTTTTTATATGACAAAAGCAATTGATTGTCTAACATATCATTTCGGTGACAATAACTGAATAAACAGTTTTGGTTTAAATTTCTCGATTTTAGAGATGAAATTTTCTTAAGATAGAGATTTGTTTCGTTACTGTCATCACAACCAGAGGACCGATCGTTAAACTTGAATATACAGACTCTAGTCCTCGACAGTGACTGTATTTTATCGCCCGATTCATTAACATTTAGATCAATGATTGGTTGCTTTGATAAGTATTTAAAGCGATAGAGAGTAGACCAGCGGTCAGTCCACTGGCGAAACGGCTTACAGTCAGTTGACTCGTCCGCTGCTAAAACATGTCTGTCATCGCTGTCTGTCACAAGTGACAGACCATTGATCTCATCTCTCACTGACCACAACAACATCTTCTGGTTGCTGTTGAGCTCACATTTCACGAGACAATCAGTGTTAACCTCGCGATCGCCGTACAGTTGGCGATGTTTGTCCACATAAAACGGTAGTGACGGATGTCGGGCATAAAAGTCGGCCAATTTGTTGTGTTTGGCCGCACTATTGGCGCTTAACAGTCCGGCACCGTTATAGTCGGGAAGCGCTGTGTAGTCAAAGAGATTATATGTCTGATTGAGTGACGAAACACTCTCGAAGACGTTCAAGAAGTTGGGAGCGGTGTATGTGTTGGCCATTGAGTCGGATGTGTGACATATCAACCGTACGGACACTCATTAGTAATACAATTGGATTTACAATACGTTTTCAATTCAAATAATTTGTTCAAATGTTTTCAAACAAATCATATGACATTTTATATCATATAACTATCAATTACGTCCAATAATTATATTTATCTATTCATACAATCATATGGTTTCACTGTTTATATATTATTACGTTATTTATTGTAAAATATTAATATACAAAACTTTAAATTAATTATTAATACAATATTATTATTATTATACCAGTAATACATTTACCTATAAATTATAGTTATTATACAATATATTATATATTTTTTAATTTGTTAAATAAGTTTTATTATATTTCAAAATATTTATAACTATTTATACAACTAATGTATTGTTTATGTGATATACTATAGTCATAATTGTTTGTCATTTTGTTATTTATATCGTTAAATAATTTAAATAATTTTATAGTTATTAATGACTAATATTATCAATTTGATTAATTTAACGTTTAACTAAGTTTTTATTACAAATTTTTAATTAACTAATTAGTTTTATAACTTAATTACAATATTTATATAAATTAATTATAAAGTTATTAAAAGTATAGTATAGTGTATATGAGTACTTAAATACTGTTATTATTATAATTTATTTAATTATTGTGCAATCAATTGATGACATTATTTATAAAAATATTAGTCATTTAAATATTAATAGTATTTAAATAAACATTTGATTCAATGGTCTAAATAGTGTTTACTATAAGTAAGTGATTAATAAAAACATGAAATGATATTTTGTTATTCAATACATTTGTTTACTTTTAATATTTTTTGTTAAAATTGTTTATATTATTATTATTATTAGATAACGATATGATTATCTGTTTTGTTGACACCACTGGTGATGGTATACCACATGATTGTCATCTGTTAGTCGCGTGAAGATTGAAAACACAATACAAACAAACTGTTGGATGGCTTTGTTAGACAAACAGATCGACACAATGAAATCACTTAAACATTACCGACGGGGAGACGTTATTATGACTGTTAGGCCACTGGTTTATGTGGTGGCCGACCAAATGAAGGGCCGAATTTGTGACTATTGTCTAACAGCTCGACCATCGCTGATGTCATGCAGTGATTGTGAGCAACAATTATATTGCAATCAGATCTGTCAACACAACGATTGGGATTATCATAGACTTGAATGTCCGACACTAGCCTATAGTCCAACCATTAAATCGGCCGAAAAATTGATGATTCGCTTATGGCTTGCAATACAAGACAATCGCGATATAGTTGACAAACAGTATCCACTGCCTAACGGACAATATTTATCACTTAACGACCTTAAAGTGAACAATGACTTCGACAAAGACTTGTTTCTCTTTGGATCGGATGAGACACAACTTAATGAGATTTTAAGTGAAGTCATCGAAGCAGTGAGTGATGAAGACTTAGATGAAAACATTTCTATGAAAGATAAAGCTTTGATTCAATTCAAGTCATTAGTCGAGACATTCAATGAATGTAAAATACATTTTGATTTGTATACTCTTTGGCAACTATTTCTCAAAGTCTGGAGCAATGTCTTGACTATAGATGTGTTAGACTTTGATAATGAAGAGTGTGCTTATGGTCTGTTCATTGAATCCGCTTCATTGAACCACTCGTGCGAACCGAACGCTTGTTACGTGAGTTATGGTACACGTCTTCAGGTGCGAGCAATCAAACCGATTAAACCAAACGATGAAATATTTATTTCTTACATTGATTTGGCAAATGATACTTCGGTTCGACAAAAAATGCTTAAATCTTTTCACGTTATATGCGATTGTCTTAAGTGTCGGAACAACACTAGTGACTCAAATATAGATTACAGTTTGTTTCACAAACTAAACAACGATTTTGGTCACAAGTTTTTTACTCTTATGAATGTAAAGAATGGATTGACATCCAGTATAGCGGAGTTGATATCCATTGCCGATGAGTTAGTGCCTTATTATGACAATATTTTTCCAGATTTTTATCCACAAAAAAGTTTATATTTAGTAAAATACTTAAAACTGATACTTTTGAATGTGATTGAGACCAAAACTGCGGCCATTAATCGAGAATTTGTTGCATTTGTTTTGAAAAACGTAAGCATCACTCACGGTGTCGACCACAAGATCTACCGTAAAGTGTGTGTCGTCCGTCACATAACACTTCTAGACTTGGAGTCGGACACCGACCATATGCTGCAAACTCTTAAGTCGAAACCAATTTCGGCGCTCAAGAAGTACACTATATATTCTATAATACTTGTTATTTTATGCTTTATTTTTTACAATAACTTTGATTTAATATATCAACATTTTTTCCTTTAGTCTACGGTATATATAGCACATAGTTTTTAGTCATATATACTGTGTATATATATAAATTTTATGCTGTGGTAAACAAATTATAACTAAAACGATATAGAAATCAACAAATTATTGATTGATTGCTCATTAATTGCATTTTGCTTAAAACTTCTCTTTAAGAGAAATGTAAATTTTATCAATGAAATACAATATATTATAATACAATTACAATATCTGTATTTTATATAATTTTTGAATAATAAATAAAAATAAATAAATATTTTGTCACACACTCTAAAACATTAAATTATTAATATTAAAACATCATAGATGTTAATCGTTAACTATTAGCTGTAATATATAAATTTATTATAAATTATATGGTTATTATTAAAATATACTGTATTTTTATAAGTTATAATAAATTAATAATTTCAGATAAATTGTGGCTTAAGACAGTTGACAACTTCGAGACGATTGATTTGAGTGGCATTAGCCATAAAATCTTGTACGCCATCGAAGGTAAGGCCTGGCAATGTGTCCAAACGTAAGGACCGCAATTTGGACAGTCTTTCGAGTGACTCCAGTGTGCGATCAGTTATATCCAGGTTTTTGAGACAAAGTTGTTTAAGATGTGGCAACAACTCGTCCAACTGTGACAAAGACATGTCTGACAATGACTTATATAAAGCACTTTTATTTCTTTCGTTGGCATCGATGTCATTGATATCACCCGTTAATAACTCATGTTTGCCGCCACTAATTAATGATAGGCTTTCCAGTTGTCGACAATTTTTAATTACAATCAGAATTGAGTTGTCATCAAAAACTGAGTGAAAATTTTTGTATCTTTTGGTTTCTTCAATATGTAATTGTTTCAAATGAGTTAATTGACTCAAACCAGCCAACAGTGCATTGTTTCTGACAGTCCGACGGCTCTGCAAAACTATCTTCAGTGAAGTCAGTTCTGAAAATTCTTTGCCAATTCTGTCAAACAATTGTTGGTCGCAATCAAATACTTTGATTCGCAGATCCAGCACTTGTAAGTCGCGACCATTACCTTAGTTTTGTGAAATTAAAATATAAAATATAGAAAATAATATATCAGTAATTCTTCCAGACTTACCATTTAATAGTCCATCAATTATTGAGGTTTTGTGGTTGTTATGATCAGCAGCGGCAATAAATGTGTGTATCTTAAGGCCTAACAATTGCAAATGATTGCCATAATTATCGAGAACAGAGTCGTCTAAATTAAAATATTTAAGATTTGCCAATCCTTTGGTTATTATCTCTAGCGAAGTCTCATTATATACAGAAACCGTTAGGTGTGTCATATTAGGGAACCAATCAACTAACAGTTTGATAGACTTCATGTCCAGTGCTCGACATCTTGTTATATGAAGTTCATTCAACATAACCAAGTGATTGGTTAGTGTAAAGATAATATCATAGTTAGTGGTGGCCAAAGCAAACCGCATTTCAGGACATTTAGCAAACTTCATGACCCGAATGTTTGGCATTTTAGACACTACATAATCAAACACCTGTCCATTGAACACATACTCTCCATTAGAGATGTGAACACCATTTAGTCGACAGCCGTAAGTTAAATGATGACAATTCTCAAGAAAACTGTCGGCTTGTCTTAGGAAGAAACGACTCACTTGACGGCACACGAAGACATCGGTTAGCGGTAAGTATCGAAGCATATGATGAAAGCTATGCTCATCCAAATCGGTGATGTGTTTTGGGTGTCGGATCAGCTCCACAGAGCCCTTAACGATGTGACTTAATGTATCCATCAGTGAATCGGTTAATGAATTCAATGAATTCATTACTAATACTGCATGACATCAATGCATAAATTCATTGGATTCTCTGTTGTTAAAAACAACTCATTAACTTAATTAATGATTAATTTTAATCGACACTTATTTTTGTTCCCATTATTGCTTCAATAATCAGTTGACTATCGATAATATTATATTAAATTACAGTATTATTGTGTCACTCTGTTATATATACTCTATATATATGAATGAATATCGCTTTCTATGTTGAAGTTTCACTCAAATATCGATCACCTTTTTTTAGTACAACTATTATACGAAACAGTTATGCCATAGGACTGGATATCCACTATCTAACAGCACATTCAATATCCCATATATTCTGTATGTGCGATGAAATCTCTCCCAATGACAGAGTTTATTATATTATACACACAAACGTCTACTGTATAAAGTCTACAGAATTATGTATTGCTTTTGCGGTATTTAACAGCAAAAGTCACTTTGAAAATGCCATACAATCTGTGCCCTATTGTATGTAATATACAATAAGTTATATAACATTATCATTGTATTCAAAACCATTACCATCAATGTGGTTGAGACATACATTCACAAGAAATCATTAAAACCACTGTTATATCACTGAAAATAACAACAACAAAAACCATAAGATTTTCAGCTTAATTATTATTAACTTAATTATTTATTTTATTATAGCATAAAATTGTTTGTGTCATAAAATAAAAGCAAAACTTAATTAAATTCATAGATAATTTCATTTATGTGTGATATAAAACACAAGTTATTATTAAACTATTTCAAAATATTGAGTTAGTATATCAATTTAAATAACATTTAATATTATTAAATATAATATATTTATTATCTGCAATCTTATCAAATAGCGTTATGTGCTATTTTAATCACTATTACTTTTTTATTATTAAAATAATAAACTACATGTACAGTTATATTTTGAAATAACTTATCTATATCTATATTTGTTATTAATAAAATCTCATTATATATTTTTCAATTATAACAGCTATTTAAAATATATTTATTTTTTATTATATGAAAAACTATTTTATATTAAAAAATAATTTGACTATTTAACTAATATATAAGCATTACAGAATATTTACATAAATTAAATTTGATAATTGAAAATTAATTATTGAAAATTAATTATTGAAATTATTAATAATTATAATTAATTAATAAGACGTTAAAATATTAATGTTAAACTGTGTCCACACAGTTGTCAGTTTACACAAAATATAATATTTTGTAATTTATTATAATTTACACATTAGTAAATATTATTTGAAATTATTTGAATAATTATTTGAAACAAAAAAAAATATTTTATTTATTGAATATAATCCTTATAATAAAAATTGTAATTTACAATTGCTATTTTTTTATAATTTATTTTATTATTTTAATATGTGATTTTTATTATCGTTTAATTCAATTTTTATTTTAGAATTTTATGATGTTATTATATATTTTTAACCATATCAATTCAATGATAATAAATACTAATAATTATATTTTCAATACTTATGATAACATTTATTATTTATTTCTGATTGTTAGAGACTTTTACATATCTGTTGTTGTAATTGTTATTATTCAAGATATTATATACAATATCTTCATATTATATATTGTATATTGTATTTCTAATTTTAAGTTTTGTTACCTTAAATAAATTATTTGAGATATATGTGAATTTGATAATAAACCTGTAATAATAACCTAACATTTAAATATATTCTGTATTATAATTTATTTAATAATTATTTGCTTCAGTCTTTAAATATCAACAAATAATTATTTTTAGATATTATGGTTATTTTAGTAGATATCTTAAAATATATTAAAAAATATTTTGACCATATTTTTTAATCTATAATAATAATAATAATAATAATATACTATAAAATAAACTACATATTGATATATTACAGTATAATTAAACATTAAATTCTTGAAAAATCTCATAAAATATTGTTTACTAAATATTATTATTATTTATTATTAATTTATAATAATTTTTAATATAAATTGGTCTAGGCTGCTTAATTTATAGAGCAATATACATATGCATAATAATAAACATTTTAAAATTGAAAATAAGTTAAAATAATATGTTAATTATTCTCTTATGTTTACTTATTAAATTATAAATTATAGTATGTATTAGCTATACAGTATAATATAGCCTATATTGCATTTATATTAATTGCATTAATAAAAACCTAACATTAAAAGCATTAACATTTATAATACAGTATAATACAGCTGTATTATACATTAGTAATTTGTAAAATTATAGTAAATTATAATACCATAGATTCATATCCATTGGGAATATATTATCACATTTTTAGCAATCTTATTGTTGATTGATATGTGAATTATAATTCAAAACACAGTTTTATTAGTTAATTACATTTATTATAATATTTATTAAATAATTTTCTTTTGAGATTTTTTTTATTGATCATGATAATAAACTTAAATTTAATGAAACATAATAATAACTAACTAAACATGAAATTAACTTATTAATAAATATTTATTTATCTATTATTTGTTTGACGTAAACATATTACATTTAACTTTGTTATTAAAATTTTATTATTAGACTGTTTCAATATAACTTACATAATTTATAAAATTATTATACAATATTTAATGCAATATAAACATTAGTTCAGATAAAATGAGAAAAAACATAAATACTAACTTTCATTTATAACTTTTAAAAATAAAAACAAAACATAATTTATAGCTTACCATTAGATTCTCTTAAATGTGAGCTTTTAAATAGTATGCCATATGTCTATGTTTGTTTTTAAATTATAATGGCAAACACGAAGAAAGTCACCCCTATGAAGATAAACATCACCCGCCGGAAGACACTCGAGTGGCTATGGAACCAAGGCCACCGGGACCCGAAATACCTTATGGATGCCTCGGGTGCATCCCGGGCAACGGTATATCGGGTAATGAAGAGGTTGGAAACAGGGGAAGGTGTCCAACGGAGGCCCGGAACCGGTAGATCTCCAATTTTGACACCCAATGACCGACGTCGACTCACTCAATTGGCCTTAAATCACCCGAAGAAAAGTTCATCGGGACTTGCGGGTGTAATGGCCAGAAGAGGAAGTCCGTCGGTCTCTCGGGTAACAATTTGGAGGTCATTAAAACGATCCGGGCTTCTTAAATGGCTACCGAAACCCGTTACCAAATTGACACCACTCCATAAGCAAAAACGCTTAGAGTGGTGTCAGGCCAACCTCGGGCGGGACTGGCTCAATGTCCTATTAACGGACGAGAGTTACTTCCAACTCTACCGCCACAAAGTCAAGATGTGGGCGCGAAAAAGACCCGAAAAACAAGTCCCAAAACACGGCCCTGCAATAATGGTATGGGGAGGCATCAGTGCTCGTGGGACGTCAACACTTGGCATGGCCAGAGGTACAATAACGGCCGAAAGATATCAAGATATCTTAGATGAAAACTTGGCCACAATAGATGTCTTATATCCGGAAGGATTTGTCTTCCAACAAGACAATGCACCTCCTCATACGGCCCGGTCCACAAAGGAATACTTTGCGAAACAGGGTCAAGAGGTGCTGGACTGGCCACCCAACTCTCCCGACTTAAATCCCATAGAAAACTTATGGCGATTAATGAAGGATGCGTTGGAAAAGGAAACCCAACGCACCACTGAAAACTGGATGGACAAAATCCAGGATATTTGGGATAGAGAGGCTCCCAAACACTTAGTCATTAGTCGGGAGCATGAATTCCCGACTTCAAAAGTGTATTGCGGCCAATGGGGACCGAATAAAATATTGATTTTTTTGAATTAATTATATTAGTTATTATATTTTATATTTTTTATAATAAATTATTAAATAAATTTAATTATAATTATATTTAATTGAAATAAAGAAATCTCATTTTATCTGAAACTAAGTTTACAGTATTTAAGTACTGTATTTAATACAGTGTATTACATATACAGTACTGTACAATACAATCATGTACTGTAGTATTATATGATATTACTGTATTGTAAATAGTATTTTACATATTTACCAGAGATTTAGCAAATGTGATCACATATGTGCTTATTTAATGGGTAGTATTTTTTACTATTTAATAATATATAGTATTATTAGTTTATATAATGTATATTTCATGGATCTAATCAAATATTTAATAGCTATAAAAATTCACTTGTTCAATTCAAATAAGCTATAAATTATACTTAAATATAAATAGTGATACCCTATAAGCTATAGTTTTATGTGACAAATATTCACAATATTGCTCGATATATAACATTGATTATCAATTATTTTATCAATATTTATGTTTATAAAGTCATCCTATTTATATGATAAGCTTTTTATTAGTATGTATTATGCAATTGAAATATTATTTTTTATGATATTTTGTCGATAAAATATAAACAAACAATATTATACTGTACTAAATATTAATATGTTTAATGAGAAACATATGTTATATTTTATAAAAATAATATAGCATATAATATACAGTATATTGAAATATTTGAATTTATTGTACAGTATTAGTAGTTATACTAGTGTTTGCTTTTGTAACATAATTTGCATTTATTATGACTTTTTTCAGTGTGTTTATAACCCGTATAAATAATTCATAGTTAATATATTTTCCATAAATTTCAATTCCGATAAGTGATATAAACGCTACTGATTTTAACGATATTAAACGAAATATTGACTTTTTTTAAATCTGCGCAAATATTTTGCTATAATTAATACAAAACAGTATGACTTCCATCTCGAGTCACAAAATATCACATAATTATACATTCATTTAATAAAAATACTGTATTATTATTATTTAATAATTATTTAATAATTATTTAATAATTATTATTATAGAATCTATAATATAGATTTTATACTTACTATTTATGCTCTAGAATTTATTTTATAGATTTAATTAACAATTAAATAAAATATTGATATAACTCTCTAATAAATTATTTTATTTTATATTTTCATAAATAGACAATAATTTCAACAACAAAAAAATATTAACTGTAGTTTATTTTTTGTATTAGTTGGATAAAAATTTTAAAAATAATAATTATAAAATAATGATATAAAGAATTTATGCTAAGTATGTAAAAATAATTAAACATAAACTAATGATTCACTAATTCATGAATATCTGTTAGTAATGCAATTGTTAAATATGATATACTAGAATACAAATACACTAATCTTTAATAAAAATATAATTAAAATATGTATCAAAGTTAGTGTTAGTAATTATCAAATAATATACAAAACAGAGATATATATATATATAAATAAAGGATATGAATATTACTATTATTAGTATTCATTTATTAGGACAATGTGTCCGTTATCTGCATCGAGAAGTACAGTGTGTCCATTGGGTATGATATAACAGGCATTTTTGACGCCAACTAAACAGGGTATACCATATTCTCGGGCAATGACAGCTCCGTGTGATACTAGTCCACCAATTTCGGTGATAATACCACTTATCATTGGTAGATAAGGACTCCAACCAATATCAGTACAATAAGTAACCAGTATATCTCCCGGCTTTACATCACAATATATGCAATTAATAGTTATTATAGTATAATAATTATATTAATAAATACCTGAATATTTTTTGCGTCATCAAAACACTTGGCTACACATGCTTTGGCTGTTATACTTCCCGTACAAACCGGAGTACCCGGTATTTTAGCTTTCGGATTCAAATTTTGAAGTAAATCATTTTTATCTATAAGCTATTTTATATATTTAATATTATAGTATGTATACTCATAACAATTTATATAATAAATAAAAATATTTGATTTATTGAAACTCACATTACGTGGTCTAATATCAGGTCCAACGGACATCTCTTCATAAATATTTTGATCGAGTTTTTGATAAATCCTTTTTCTCTGTTTGGCTTTCATCACAATCTTCGGCACTCGAGTTTCAGTTAAAATCTTCAACTCTTGTAGTGACACAAAGTATATAAGCTCTGGATCTGGTATACGTCCCTCTTTATAACACATCATTTCTCCCATTTTACGTAACAATTGCCGAAACTTATCAATACATTTGATGTCAATAAGTTTGGATTCTTCTCTATGAGCTATAGAGCTCTGACAGTAGGGTATAATCCACTTCTTTAACAACCACTTCTGTTTTGTTGATAGAGATGTCTTAAGCTTAGAGAGGTGTTCATCGATTGTTGGAAGTATTTCTTGATTTGAATTTTCTTTAAACGGAATCATTGTTTGTATTGTTGTCACTAATAATGTCATATTTTCAGACCATGTTTTTGATAATACATCCCATTCTTTATAACCTCTAAAACCATAATCTTTCATAAAATGTTTATACAATACAGCTGTCTCTTCGTTATTATTTTCAAGCCATTCAAGTGCTTCTTCAGGTGTCATATCTTTAAATTTTTTCGGATCTTTTATAGATTTTGCCAATTGTTTTATAGCTTTCGGTACATCAGCACTGACTATACTATTGCCAGTCATTGATAATACGTTTGCAAAGTCAATGTATAGATTACTATTTGAAGTAACATCTAAACAGTAAAGTTATTTAGTAATAAAATTAATTTTAAAATTTTTCCTTAAGTTTATAAAGTTTAGTGTCTAATATATATAAATATTTTACCAATATTTCCATTTGATAAAACTGATAACAGCATTAAATTATGTATCGATGATTTAGTAGACACTTCCAGATGAATGTCAAGAGCCTTAAAATTAATTATTTTGTTAAACATTTTAAAACATTAATTACATAAACTAACTGTTAATACACAATACCTCAGCCATAATGTTTAAGTTATCACAAAATACACGAAACATTTCAAATGAGTTATTATAAGTTTTGTCTCTAATAAAACTTATGTCTTGTTTTTGTTGAATAAATTTTTTGAGTTTCTTTCCAGAGGTTAGACTTTTGAGGGCCGACTTTTGTATCGCTATTTTTGTTTTAAGCGATAAAATACCGTTCCTTTCAAAAGCGTCTTCTCTAAGCTGTTCGTCTTCAACTGGATGTCCAAAAGCGGCTAAAGTTAACGCTTTATTAAGAAATGTCTCGTATTGTTTCGGTGCGAACTGGAAAAATCCTACCTTTTTGTCAATGAAATGAAAATATTATTTAATAACATTTAATAAACATTTTTTTAAAAATAAGTCAAACATCTTTTAATGAGAAGAAAACGGCATTGTTTTGAATGGTAACCGCTTGTAATGGGCGCCGATAGGCATTATATTTCATACCAAATGGCTTTACATATCGCTCCTTAAAGTAAACCAAATATTTATAGTTTTAATTATTAGCATTAATCAGTAATCATGTAATAAATTAAATAATGTAAAGCTAACTGATAACTGCAACCACATTGCGGGAAATATAGCCGTCATATGGAGTGTCGAGATGGCGCCGGGCATTACTTCACCTAAATTAGCTCTAGTGTTATACTCGGCCTCATCGAGATGTCCCGTATCGAACTCGTGTGTCAGTTCCCACTCATTATAAGCGTTCAAATTAGTGACCGGACGGGACTGAAACATATAATATAAGCCATCTTTAAGTCCCCATTCAATATCCCGTTCGCACCCAAAATAGTATTGTAGTTTAAGACCAATTTCACCTAAAGTTTTGATTTGATCGTCACTTAAACAACATTTACTTGCATTTGAATCATTGGTTTGAATTTCAATGCCCGCACCCGAGTCTGTCTTGATTTTCATAACAGACTCTTTAGCGCCAATTATTATATCATTTATTGATTTAATACACCTTTGATTGTCATATGAATTGAACTCCATATCAACTATTAAACTAATATTATCGGGATTAACTGCCGCCGATACAACACTCTATTCAAATTTAATTAAATAATTAAATAATATTATAATTTTGTTATTGATTTTAATTTCTAAATACTTCTCCAATTCCATAGTTTGCATTAATTATTATTTTATTAGGCGTACCGTTCACTGGATCACAAGTAAACATAACACCTGCGACATCACAATCAACCATCTCTTGGACCACAACAGCCATCGGACTGTTAATCAACTGTCCGTATCCTCGTTTGTATTCCACAGCAATTATATTGAACTGAGAGGACCAACACTTAAGTACAGACTCACATATTTCGTTCAGACCCTTAATTCCCAAATATGTTGTCATCTGACCGGCAGCTGACATGTCCTCTGAATCCTCGCCGCACGCCGACGAACGGACCGCTACAACAATATCATCTGTGTTACCATTAGTTTGTAATTTCTGAAGAGAATCTCTTATGGATGACTTAATAACTAACGGCATCTCTATCTTTAAGAAGTTATTCATCACATTTTGACACTCTTCTTGAAAATTCTCTTTTTTCTCAGACCATGAAATTGTTTGAAGTCTTTCTATAGCTTTATCTAAATCTGGATTTTCTTTCAAAAGAAATTGATATGCATTTGTGGTTACAATGAATCCATTCGGTACTATAAAGCAATTGTCATCCAATTTACTCAATACTTTCAATTTACTCAATGAAGATCCCTTTCCACCCGACAACTCTTCATTCATAGCATTTTCGTCTTCAAAATTTAACACTAAATCTTGTGATTGTCTTTTTTTAAATACATGAAACAAATGGGTGTTTGTCTTAATTGCTATCATTTCACTTATGATATCCTGATTTTCCAATATAAATCCCAACCCATTGTGACCATTGATAGTTAAATTAATAATATTATTATCTTTAATAATCAAATTATTGACTATCATTTCTTTGCCATTAATTTGTAATTTAAAATTTGATGGAAAGATATTCTGATTGTTATTGTCAATCAAATACATTTGAGGTATAAATGTTTGTATTGGATAAATGCATCCATGAGATGCCAGTGCCCATCCATAATACATACTAAATATAAACAATTATAAATTTATTTTTATTTATTTTTTTGGAATAAAATTTTTACCATTTATTTTGATTATGTTTTGGCGTAATTTTGATAATTTCTAATGCAATTCCTTTCTAGAAATATATTAAAATTAGTAAAATTATGTAATTATTTATCAAAAATTAAGTAAATTTACTTACATTAGTATACGCTGAAAATAGATATTTATCAAAATTATTGACAAAATAATTATCTGATGTTTTGTAATAAGCTTTAGATCGGGTCCCCCAAAGAAACAGTTCTTTATTGATCTCATTGTCAATCTTCAAAGTGGCTCTTAATTGACCGCAAACAACATACCTGTCCTCAAATATATTTTCCAGTTTGACTCCCATTCCGTTCATCTCTTTTGCCAAATACTTGTTATCGCCGTTAGATTTGTAGTCAAAGACTTCTGAAGTTGAAAACCAAAACAAACGCATTTCGATAAAGAATTTTTGGTTATTTTTATCGGTTAAGAATCCGTTGAATTTAACTCTCCATCTTTGAAAGGGTGCCAACACTTCCAGCAAAAGACCCGGAAATTTATATTCATTTTTATTTGAAATGTTATATGAAATGCCAGTTTCATTGCATTTATAATAATCATTATCTCCCAAATCAATAAATATTTTATAATTATATTGTATAGCAATTATTTGTTCACTTTTCTCATCAATGACTGGTTTAGTTTTTAAACTAATATTTAACATTGATTTAAATGAGTTGACACCATAAATAACAATTATTTCCTCTTTTTCCTAATATTTAATTATTGATAAAAATAATTATAACATAAAATTTATTTAAATAAATAAATTATTGTCACCTTATTTGGTAACTCTGTTTGCCATAACTGGTCTCTCGCAAGAATACCAGAGTTTGTTAAATCTGATGTTATATCAAAACAATTAATCCAATCCTTATGCAAACTCTTATGTTTGCAAATATCTGATAAAATTGTATTCTTCATAATAGATATATTTTATGATTTATTGATATTATTTAATGATAATTCTTAACAATTACTATACCAATTATTATTAATTATTAACACTTAAAAATTAGTTAAAATTATTAAAGTTTAGAAAATTGTAACACAAAATATAAAGTTATTTGAATAAATTAGATAAATTTTATGTGAAACATTAAAATAACTTATAAAAAATAAACAATTAATATAAAATAAAAATTTAAAAAGATATTTAAATTAACTCTTTTTAATTTCAATAAACGTTTTAATCATATCATCTTAATATAATACAGTTATAAAGTAATTTATTTGTTCAAAATGTTAATTTAAATCGTTATAATTTAAGTTTCGTATCGTGATGTACAATATTATACAGTGGATAAAGTGCAAAAAAACTAATCTATAATATACTTAATAAAAATTTTGTATAAATATATTCAATATCTTTATTTAATTATATATATTTATAATTTTGAATGTATTGAAGGTCAAAAATTGGCAAAAAATATAATGATTTATACTCATAATTAAGATTGTGATTATTGTTGATAAATATATTATATGGCATAGAGTTATCATAATTAGCTACTAAATTATTATTAGCAAAAAATATTTAAGTTTATACAATGAATATTATAAATAAACTTAAACAGCAGTTACTGTCAATAATTAGACATAAAACTTACAAATAGTAGTAACACTCCTAAATAGTTTCCAATTTTATAGATCCCATTCATTTAGGACATCAATTAAATTAGAAAAACAGGTTTACAATGAAATTAAAATCCAATGACATATCTAATAAAACAACAATTATTTTTATAAAACTTTTGATAGACAGGTTGGGAACAATTGAATTCATAAATAATAAGCTATTTTTGTTATACAATTAAATAATGTATAGACGATTATACTGTATATGTAGTTGATGTTACAGTGCTTCACCTATTTATTTCAAAGTGTTTTTAAAAACTATTTCAATAGTGAACGTATTTATTTCAATACTTAAATCTATGCTTTATTATAATAAATTTAATACTTATTAAACATCTTAAAACTCACAAATAGTTTATTAAGAATTTCAGATAATTATAATTTTGAACTCTTTAAGTAAATAAGATTTTTATTTTTAAAAATTTAATCAAAAATACATTTATAAACAATAAACAAAAGTATCTTAATTATGTAAAGTATACATTAAATAAATAATATTGAAATAAATAAGTTTACTTTTGAAATAACTGTGTTCACAATGAAATAAATATGTTTACTATTGAAATAGTTATGAAACAATCTATTTATTACATTTAATGACTAAAAACAAACAAAAATAAAACAAAAATATTTCTAAAATATTTTATATAAAAATACAATAAATATTTATATCTACTAATTATTTATTAACTTAATTACAATTAGCGAAGTAATGCAATTAATTCAAACAAATTTTAATCTTAAATACTTATAAATTGTTTTAAAAGATTGTGAAATAGAAATTATTAACTAAAAAAAGATTAAATATATTAAATGTTAAATTTATGCGATAAATAAATGAAAAATATTTATATTAACAATAAATTGAAAACATATTAATTATCAATTGATTTACGACTCATTTCTTTTGAATCGTTTATCGTTTTGAAGACAAATCATTGGTTCAAACGAACGCTTCTTTGTTTGTAATATCTGTTTGTCGACAAACTCTTCAAATTCATTATCGTCTGTCCAATCGTTTGGCTCATCAGTCGATTCATTAACATCTAGTCTTTGGTCGCAATTATCGGTCTTTAAATATGACAAACAAATAATTAATTGAAAATCATATATAAATAACTCATTTATTACATCTGATTGTTGTTTATCTCCGCAATGTTGAGGCACTAACTGAACGCTGTCTGCAGTCATGTCTGACAACATGACCCGAGTCTTGTCCTCTAAATTTTGATTCAACACATTGGCCACTGATTTGATAGTTTTGACAGAAATTGACATTTCTTTGCCATTTGCAGCCATAAAGACAAATGCTTTATTGTCTTTGGTCTTCACAGTCTTTGATGAGATGAGTTGGTCACTGATGGGCACTTCATCACTAGTTTCTGACTTATCCTCTTTGGCCGGTCTTTTCTGTGGTGTCTTTAGCGGACACTTAAACTTTTTGACACATTTAGACATTTGTTGACAATTAAGTGATAATCTTATGTTATGTTATGTAATGTCACACAATGTCTGCAAAATTACAAACAATAATAATATCAAATCATATGAATATTCATATACTGTATGACATATTAAACATATTATTATTATATTTGATTTTCTATTATACTATTATATATACAGTATATTCTATTGAATATTTAATATACCATAACTTCAATTGTTTTTATTTAAAATTTAGTGCAAATATAACTTAATATAATATTTGTAAATAATAAAAATATCAATTTACAATTATCAATATTATATTATTTATTAAATACTATAGATTTGGTTGTTTGCTATTTTAAAATTCAATTGTTTTCATATTATTTTATTTTTAAAAATTTAAGAAATTTTGAAAAATATTGAGTACAAGTGTTGGAAATAAGTTAAACTAAATGTCATTTATATAAACTTAATACAAATAACTCACATTTTAGACAATTTCGTAGACTTTTGCCCCAAATATAAGAATATACTGTATTAATAATACAAATAACTTATATATTAGGTTCAAAAATAAGCAAATTTTGGTTTTTTGGTTAAGTTTAATAGTTTTAATTGTTAATATAAGTTTTAACTTAAATAATATAACACAAGATTAATATACTGTAGAGTTGATTTACCGTATATACTAAATATTAAAATTTAACAAAATTACAATTTATTATTATATTAACATTTGTGTTTTTAAGTAAACGTGAATATAAATTTATATATAATTAACATTACAATTATTTCGCAAAAGTTATATAAATTGATTGTTGACGAAAATTGATGAAAATTGATTGATGTGTAACAATGTTTAACAATTGGTATTATTGCGAATTTGTTATAAATCTCTTGTATTGTCTTTATTGGGATTTCGTCCATAATATTGTCTCAGACTGTTGTTTAAGATTGTATACAAAAGATTTTTACAATTATGAAACCCATGAAATGACACCAATAGTAGTATATACTGAGGGTCTGTATTTGAATTAACAATATTTTTATAATTAATTGATGAATTATATTTAATTTTTATAGATAAGATTATCGATGATTTCATTTATTATAACAGCAATTATAAAGAGTCTGACAAAACTGTTAAAGTGGTGCTCATCAGTGATGATAAAGAATTAAATGAAATTTTGCTAAAAGATGTCAATCTAATGATTAATGCATACGATATGATGAGATCAGTGAAGATATCAAAAGATCTGAGATTAAGACAAAAGCAATACACTATGAAAGTGTCGGCAATTAATAAACCATTACTATTACGATCTCAACTAACAAAAGGTGATTAAGATTTATAATATCATTGTTTATATAAAGAAAATGTTTTTTTTTGTAGACAAAATCACTTCAGTTTCTATAGAAGAAAGAGTAAATCAAATGACGAGAATCAGCGATAATGAGATACAATTAATTGATAAATACAGTCGTTTAGTCAGTGATGCCGTCAAAAATGGTTTCAAAATTCAATGCAATGATCCGATTATCGTACCTTTTGAACCATAAAAGCATTTTAATAATTCATTAAAACTACAAATTGTTATATAAATTTATTATTATTATTATTATTTATTTTGTTTTGAAAGCAATAATAAAAATATCATTCACTTTAAGAGATATATAATCAAAGTTAGCGGTTAAGAAACAATCGAAATCATTGCCAACAATGCAATGCCAGAGATTCATGTCTTGAGGTTCCAGATGTGTCTTAATATAGGCGGCAATCTGTCCAAAGTTATAGCGACCGCATAGACTCACCGCTTCTTTAGTTAAATTAACGGCTCGTTTCTGTGAAGAGCTGTTCATTGATGTGCCAATCGTTTCGTAGACAAGTTTGTCGATATGTGGTCTACGCTTAAGAAAACAATTATCCTGACCGTCAACTTTGACTGTCTTTCTACTGCTAATAGGATTGTATTGACATCCATTTTCGTGTTGAGAAAGTTGACCATAAGTGACAGTCAGAGGACATCCCGACTTTTTCGAGCCAAAGGTGCACTTGACTTTCAAATCATTTAAATGGTTTTTCATAAACCGAGGAATCGGAACCAACATATTTTCACTGAAAGACTTCCTATCCTATGGTTTTTATTTCATTATATTAAATAACTAATTATAATAAATTTTAATTACTTCTAATAAAAATGGATACCTTAGGGCAAGACTTGTTGATTGCAAACCAATCTGAAATACATGTCTTGCAAAAGGCATGTTCACAACTATCGATCATTAATGGATCAGTTAATATATCTGTGCAAATACAACACAAAAGTTCTTCATCAATGGTGTTGTCTATCAATCGATTCAAATCCAAACCCATTTTGTAAATTGCAATATATGTTTATCAGTAAATAATTGAAACACTTTTTTGACAAATATTTTTCAATACAATTAGTCAATAACTTAGATTTCAAACTTGATGTATGCTTAACATGAACTCAGGGCTAATTTACTACCAGTTCATACAGTATTTGATTTTACATTAAAGTACAAAAATTTTCAAAATAATATTTAGTTTATGATTACAACAAGTTTTATTGGCAAATCATCATAAGTATTAATAATACTTTTAATAATAATAATATTTTAATGTGAAAGAACTGTATATAATATTACTAATAATATTAATAAGTACTTTAAAAATAATAAGTGAATCGATTTAGCAAATTATATTAATTATACAATAATTGTAATTATAAATCTTATAGCTTTATACTAAATATCTGATAAACAATACATTCAATTTAAAAATGACCAAGGACATGACATAATAGCATCGGCATTATTATCTAGTTAATTTTACAATTAATCAAAAATGACCAATTACAATAATGTTGAGTTTAATATTAATATTTATCTACAATTATGTCATTTTTAAATTCAATGTATTGTTTATCAGATATTTAGTATAAACTAACACTCGATTACCTGTTTAACCAAATACTCTCCCAAATGCATAGGCTATATGTATCCACACTTTTAATACAGAGTATGATAGTTGTACAGTAAGTATTCATAATTATTGTAAATAATTTTGTTTAGATATTACTGTATTTTATAATTCAATATTTACAGTTAAATTAGTTAAAATAGTAATAGATTTATTAATATCTAAATTATATTAGACTGAAAATACATAATTTACTGTATATTTAATATGTAATCACTTTAGATGTACCGGTAATTAAAAAATTATTACTTCAGTTTAAGTAACTAAATGTTTGATAAATACAATAATTATGTCATTTATTTAACAATTATTGAGATAATGAGTGTATTGTCTTATATTATGTATCAATAAAATGATCAAATGAATGGTTAAATTAGATAAATTGGACGAGTGGTCTAATTTGTGGATCAATTGCCACACAATAATGACATCTCCAGAGAATGTTATTCGACATATTAATGACATTAAGAAGTGATCTTTTGACTCCCGAACACTCGATATGATAGTATTGTCTACAATGGGATTGGCATCGGATCCATACATCCTTATTGATGGTCACTGTTTGGTGACACTCACCGCACCAATAATCTACACTTTGGTGATCGACGTTATCAATCAATGGTAAGAGTTGTGGTACTTCAGGACTCGGCATTGACTCGATGTCATCCAAGTCTAGCTGCGGGTCTTGACTCGAATCGGGAGTTGTATTAGGACTATGAATACGGATCTCTTGATCATCATTACCATCTTCTTGACAAATGTATTGTTTGGTCACAAATAGTGATTGTGATTGTTGGCCATCAGTGGCCAATCGTTGACTCGGCTCATAATCTAATCCTTGCGATGGATTTATCGATTGTGTATACGTATGATCACTTAAATAAGATGTTTTGGGATCAGTTTCGGTGATATTATCCATAATTGAATGTATTGTTAGACACAATGTGTTGGTTACACACAAATACTGTTAACAATGTATTTATTTGCGTTAAACGCTTATCCCATGTGTTTGTGACAAACAATAGGACATAAATTTCTAGTAATTTATTTTAATTTGTAATACAATTTGTATTTAATTATTTAATTATAAAATAATAATCAACTCATTGTTAAAGCAATGGTAAAGTATTATCTAATATAATGTTTAGTATATTTAAGACTAATTATAATATTTTGTAATAAATTTTAATTATCCTATAAATATCTTGTATATGATATCAATGTATTTATGTATAAGAAATAAATGGTTATTATATCCTAATTATTATTTTATTGCAATTGAATAGTCATATAATGATAATGAATATCTGTATCATTACACTGATTCTTGTGGTGCATATGGTATTAAATGGTTTGGTTATATCCGTCGGAGTCAATCGACACCATTGTTTTCTGCGGGTATCTATTTCACGACAAAACCGCCGCATCGATACAATGAAAGCCAAATATTATATAACAATTACGGATCGCAATGGTATCGGTATAAGGATAGGGCTAAATATGTGGTTAAAGTGGAAATGGATGAATTGGATCCATTGCTTATTGAGGAACACAATCTGTTGGGCCGTAATTTTGTGTGCTATAAACACTTTAAAGTTCGGGTCAATGAAAGTCAGGTCAACGAAACTCAGTTCAAAGAAACTCAGGTCAACCAAAGTCAGGTCATAGGGTATGAACGATATAGACCTGCAATTATATACGACTATATAGACTATTATAGACAGTCGTGAACTTACAGTATTTGCATATACTTTACATATGATTTTAAATATCATTAAGTCTACAGTACATCAAATTATAATAAATTATAATTTTCATGTTATGTTTATATAGTATTTACCTTTAAAGTGATTAATGATATATAATTAGATTTTTAATATTGAATAATTTGTACTTTATTTTGATTATTAAATACGATATATAATAAATTAAAAATCAACATTTGTGTAAACTGTAATTAATGTAATATGAGATTACAATTATTAACAAAACAATATTAAACAAAATTTTAATATTTTTCAATAAATTGGTAAAATAGAGAGCTTTTAAATAGCTTACAATTACCGGTAATAGTAATTTTCAATCAAATTCAATATACAGCGTAAAATAATTTAAAAGTTGCTGTAATACAGTAATTTAATCAATCTATAGTTTACAAATTTTCATAATATTTAAATTAATGAAACTTAAACTTTATAATAATTTCTGAAAAATTATAAATCAAACAAATATTTAATAATTGAAAACAAATTTAAAATAATATTTATTGTATAATAATTATTAAATAAATACCCTATAATGATAGCGATAATGAGTACCCGATAGTCATAAGATCAATAATAGCAATCAATTAGTTTATAATTATATTAGCCATTGGTATCTTCGTCATCGGAATCCTCCCAATCACTGCTATCATTTAAATCTTGGTCATCACTATAAGGGGAACAACTTTTTGGTAAATGATTATCCCAGTTATCAAATATAATTGGGTCCAAAAAGCAACTAAGAGTATGTTTAACATTATAAATACGTGACACAAACCATAAATATTTGAGTGATTTATCAGCAATAAAGCAAACATCAAAAGCTAATCGATCGCCAAAATGCAAAAATGCATTCAAATCTTCGACGCTTTGACCATAAATTGAGACATTGGTGTCAACAATAAAGTTATGACAAAACTCTTTATCGTTAATCAGTTTGGTCTCAATAATAGCCCAATTATTCTTTACTTTCGATACTCGACCCGTTAGACGACCCGTTATTTCGTTTCCGTATTCATACAACAAATCAAACTCTTGTCGCCGATCTTTACCAATAACTTCTGAATTCAAATCAATAAAATATTTTTTCTTTCCTTTCTTTCTCTTTGACGTGATTTCGATTGAAGTAATGAATTGATTTGAATGAAATGCAATTATCTTATCAATTGTTAGTTTATTCTTAGTTATGACAAAATCACAGACAATCGGATGCTTTTCTCGAAGAATATGAGTTAGTTCTGATGCCAACTTTCGGCCAAATCGATACAAATATGAAGAGACAAAGTTTCGGATTAATGACGAAGAGGTTTTCAACAAACAGTTTAAAATGTTATTACATTTTTCTTCAGGTCTGTCAATGGCTACTGTCCTCTGAAACAAATCATAGCTAAAGAAAGGTTTCAATTCGGTTATCAAATGAATTAAAACGCTTTCGTTATTATAATTGATGTCTAATTCAATCTTTTGGTTTTCACTTTTCTTATTCTTTTTACTCTTTAATCTGTCTTTAAATCCAATCCACGACTGATAAGCCAAGAATGGCTTTTGACAGTTGTTTTCAACTGATTGAATCAAATCCGTAAGAATCACTTCTTTGTCGACAATTTCGTTAAATATGAAGACAATGAGTTCAAAAACCAATAGATTGTCGTCGAAAGAGTCTAACGAATAGTTTAACTCCAAATCAAATAACATTTTCGGTTTTAAGACACCAATTGTTACATCGCTTTCATTGTTATCGGTTAGTTGACCGTCGGTATTGAATTTCAAGTAGTGATTGTTTATGATATGACCAGTGATCGGGTCGTATGTAAAGTAATGCTTGTTTTCATAGATGAAGTTTAATAGACTGGACTTTAGGTCGTGACCAGTGGTCACGTTGTTTTCAATCCATTGCTTCAAAGGCTTAAATCTTGAGACACTTCCGACAAGATTGGAGGCCATTGTCGGCATATTGTCCGCCGACCGCTTGTCAACCAATGATTGCATGTAATCAATCAAATTATTTCTCATATCATTCATTGTGTCACTGATTGTGATATTAATCGATGAACCGCTTAGTTATGCATTTAGTGGTCGACTATTAGACTAAATAATGTAGAGTTTGAATGTTATTGTCATTGACTACCAGTGCTATAGCCTATAGTTGTTGACTAATATATCGCTATTTTACAGTCATTGCGTAATATTAGTGATGTTGAACTAAATCTTATAAAAAAAGGTTTAAAACTATTATTAAAATGTATCCACAATTGTAGCCAAACTAATAAAGTTTGTTAAGCACAAGATATTTATAATAATAATCAAAATTTAATTAATACAGTATTGTAGTATTATTAATTATAAATTTATTTATATTTTTTATTTTACATTAAATAAGTTAATGTAATACAAGAAATATTTTGTTTTTCGTAAAATTGTTTAAATTAGTTTTAAATTTCATTAGTTTTTTTAATTTTTCAATTAGTATGCAATCACAATAAAATATTATTATTATTATAAATAAGTAATACATATATTTAATACATTGTAATTTTTTATTAATACAATAAAATTAATAAATCCTTACAAATATTGCTATCAACAATATTTATTTTATTATAACTGTTAGATTTAAAATAAATTAATTATAGAAATAAATCAAAATAATAGATAATTTTTCTAAAATTATTAAACTTGATTCTATTCAACTATTTTTTTAAATCTAAAATTCATTAACTAATTGCAATAAATACAGAAAATACTATTTTATTTTGTGTTACAAATTATAATAAAAATAATAAATTAATTTATAATATATTCTTAGTTTATTCTTAAAACATAATTTAAATAGTATTGTCAATTGTGACCAAACCTACAAAATTTGTGAAGCATTTGAAACATTGAATACAATGATTAAATTAATAGCATTTGACATTGTATTACACAATACATTCAAATCATAGTATGTTATTATCAGATCAAACAAATTATACAATATTTATTACATGAGTGTAATATTACAACACAAATGTAATAAAATAAAATTTAATTATTTTAGATTTTTTAATTATAACGTAAAGTTAATTGTAATATACTGTATTTACGAATATTATTACAAATATTTTTTACATGTTTATAAATAAATATTTTAAAGATATTTAATACATACTTAATAAACCGTAAGTGAAAATTTTAATCTCAATCTCATTTCAATTAATTTAAATACAAATTTGATTTAAATATTTAAAATGCAATTTATATAACTTAGTGTTAGATTATTATATATGAAAAAATAATACATAAGAGATTTACAAAAAAAACTATTGATCTATTATATAATCAATTAAATATTAATATTCATCATTGTGTGACCACTCGTACGTAAAATATTGAATAAAATTTATATTAAACGTAGAGTTCGGAAAAATTTCCTTACGTTTTATTTTCTAAAAGTTGCAAATTTCCCCCCCATCCTAACTGGGAATATATTTTCATGTGATACGCTAATTGAACGCTAATTCACAAATTTTATTATAAGGTTTGAAAAACATATGTTATATCAAATTGTATATTAACTAGTATTGTCAAATAGTCACTAAATTTATTCAATTTTTTTATATTTCAATGATTATGCTAAATATTAGTTTTAGTATTTTTATCCAAATATAAAACATATTTTTCATTTAAAGAGCTAGAGAGGGAAAATAAAATATTTCCGGGAATTTGAAAGGAATAAATTTTCCCGAACTCTAATTAAGCGTAATTCATATGATTCTTAAATATTGGGTAACAAAAGTTTGCCCACAAAAATGAAAACAATGTTTTAATGTATTAAATAACAGATTTACGGTAATGATGTTTAAGTGCTAATATTTGTATACTAAAAACTTATGATAACTTAAAATTGTAATATAAAATACTGTATAATTAAAACGTATAAATATTTAAATTATGATAAAATAAATTCGTGTAAATTTGTGTAAATTCTGTTAAATTTATGTGTATTTAACACATAATTAACAAATTGTTTGCGCACTTTATCGGCGCCATTCAGTGCCTTCTGGTTTATTTATAATTGGATCCACTGTAGGATCATAACTATCAATTTGAATGTTAAGTTGTTTGCATAACAGTATCATAACATTGTCCACATAGTCATGAATCACGAGATCAGCTTTGGTGTCAAATTTGGTCGGTTGAAGATTAATGATAACAACGCGACCAGAGTTGAGCTTCTTTGATAGGAAAGGCATTGAACCGACCGGTTCTATCTGTAAGGTTGTGCCCAAACAAATAGATAAATCACTTTCACGAGAGTACTTGTCAGCCCATTTGAGTTCATTTTTGGGCAACTCGTCCTCCCAATCGAGAATAGTGTCCCGAAGATACCCACGACATGGTCGCGAACTTCTCAGACACTGCCTATCGGATACCTTAAGAGCCATAGTATGGCTCGGTGTCGACCTTATAAATCTGGAGTTACAATGTGTACATTCATCCAGAAAGAAGTTGCCGTGAAGTTCAGCTATTTGTCGGCGACGGATATTAGTCCTCAAGAACAAGCCGTCAATGTTCTGACTAATGATAAATCGGATGGATTTTGCTTTTATTAGTGATATCAAAGCCATATGTGTTTGTGTTGGAAAACACTTAGCCAGTGACCGATCGTTTGTCTCGGCGTCGGGTTTGACGCCTTTTTTCTCTTGTGTCCAAATGCCATTCGGGCCACTAAATAGTCAGTCAAATGTTATTTATTAAATATCATATATAAAATCTAATCATCACTTAGTTTACCGAAAGTCGGGAATACCGGCTGATGTACTAATACCGGCGCCGCAATAAACAACACATGACTTGGACTGCGCCAACCATTTGGCCAATAGTTGTACTTTGGACTCAACCTCTTCAGGAGATTCAAAAATCTAATGACAAAAAAATAATAAATGATTCAAACGATCGTCACATTGAAAACACTTACTTCTTGAAGACCACAAACACCTTTGTTGTCGTAATCGGACAAACCGTTCGCATAATTGGCTGACATTTGACAACAAATGTGTTATAAACTAACAAATGATTGAATGAAACAAAAATAAACCGTTTTTTGTAATTATCTAATCATTGATTACAACCAATCAGTCATTCATATGATTTATCAGTAAATATTGTGTTTGTTTTGACTGAAAATCACATTCAATTCAATTCAACATTTAATACACATTTAATACACATTTAATACACATTTCTATTGTAAACATATTTTTCCAAATTTTTCATTATATTTATTAATATGATTTGCAATGAATTTTCAACACAATTTCAACACAAATAATGTTAATATTATTATTACAATTAAATCCCTAATAAATACAGTAATACTATAGTATTAAATACAATAGAATTGACGTAATTTATATTAATATGAATGATGTCATACAGTAAATGCTATACAAAAGGAGTGTTGAATAGAGTGTTAAACTTTAATTTCAATACATATTCAATATATACTCTGTATTACTATTACTACAGTATTAATATTAGTCTCTATTTGGTTGACATTTACAGCAATCAAATGTTGTTAACAATCACTGACTTAATGATCGAATCAAACGTTTGTTGATTTTGAATGAATCGATGATTCGATTAATGAATTCAATTGTCATTCAATAGCAATGCAGTCATTGAAGAGATAATTATATTAATTGAGTTGTCGTTTGAATTTAGGATCAATTAATTGATTTTAGTATTGAGTTATTTAGGCATAGATTTTGAGGTGAATGTCATGTCAACCGACGGGTCAGATAAGCGGTCAGTTGACATAAAGTCTGGAAATATTAAACAGTCGGGCGATGAAGTGTTGGATCCGATGGAAGCGTTGTCTCAGTTGGAGAAACTTATATCACAAACAAAAGAGTTTGTCTCAAATGACAACAAGAAGTTGACTTTCAATGACAACAAATTGCTCAACGATTTGTTGGACAAACCCATCAGCAATGGTAATGATAACGATGTAAATAAAGAAAGCGATGGCGAGTCTGTTGACGACATGAATGGGGATTTAGCCGATGATGAAGAAGATCTTATTGATGAAGAAGTGTCAGATACAGACAATCGAGACAATGATAAAAACAACTCAAAGGGATTAAAGAGAACGAGTGATAATTGTGAAGAGGATAACAATTGTAGTGATGATGAAGATTATGACAACGAAAATAAAGTATCAAAGCCTAAGAAGAAAATGAGATCGTCTGAGAAGAAAAAGAAAACATCGACACCAAAGGCTAAGAAGCGATTATCTAATCCAATGAAGAGGAAAAATATTAAGGATATTATGAATGAAAACGATTTGGACAAAGACACACAATTGGCCCGAAAAGAGGAAGAAGAAAGACTTCAAAGACAAATAGAGCGCGAAAATCAAAGACGACACGAACTGATTCCCAATAAGACTGACAATAATTTTTTGTCGTTCAGGTATTCATTAATTTTTATTTGAATTATTATTTTTAGTTAATATATATTTATTTGAAGATTTGCCGAAATTCCAGACAACGATGAAGTGCTTCTTAGCAGTGATGATGAAAGACGTAATGAATCGGCAGTACATAACAAATCAATCAGTAATCAAACTGCAGATTCAATTGATATAATAGACTTATCATCGGGTGATGAGGACTTTACACCATCAATAACACCTTCCAATGGATGCTCTGGTTTTAACAATAGAAGAGTGGATTACGAAAACAGTGGAATTTCATTAGATTACAATATGGTTGGCGCTGACGATGTCGATGACATTCAAATTGTTGATAACAGCGAAATGACTCATAACACACTCGAAGATATGAATAACTGTGGTTCACATACAGATGACACTTTGAACGCACCAGACGTTGAAGGCCGAGTACTGGTTAATGTTGGTCATCCAACTGAAGATTCCGATATATTTTTGGCGCCACAACTATCTCGAAGTGTTAAACCGCACCAAATCGGAGGCATTCGCTTTATGTACGATAATATTGTTGAATCGTTGGATATGTTTAAAAGTTCACCCGGTTTTGGGTGTATTCTCGCACATTCAATGGGTTTAGGAAAGACCATTCAGGTATTACCGATACTCTTATAATTTCAATGATATGATTATATTATAAACATTTCTTAACATTAGGTGATCTCATTCATCGACATTCTCTTGAGTCACACAAACGCTAAACTAGTTCTTTGTATTGTTCCTATAAATACACTACAAAATTGGATCAATGAGTTTAATATATGGTTACCCGATTCAACTATAGATAAATTCTTTCAAAAACCCGGACACGAAACTCCCGGTGAAGTAAAGTATAGATCATTTAAGGTCTACGATATTAATGACGCAAAGTCTACTATAACGAGAGCTAAAGAGATACTACTTTGGCGTAAAAATGGAGGCGTTTTACTTATGGGTTACGAAATGTTTAGAATATTGACATCGAATATAAAACAAAAGTCTAAAAAAGATGAAGAGATTAATCCATTTGAATTTGAAAAGATGAATACAGCTGTCAAAGAGTCATTGTTAACACATCCGGATCTGATTGTCTGTGATGAAGGACATCGCATCAAGAATGCTAAGGCAGGCATAAGTCAAGCTTTGAAACTAATTAAAACTAAACGAAGAATTGTTTTAACGGGTTATCCATTGCAAAACAATTTGATTGAGTACTGGTGTATGATTGACTTCGTTAGACCTAATTATTTGGGAACCAGACATGAGTTTATCAATATGTTTGAGAAACCAATCACTAATGGCCAGTGTATTGATTCAACTGGATATGACAAACAACTTATGAGATACCGGACACATGTATTGTACCAATTATTGAAAGGATTTGTCCAAAGGTCTCAATTACAGACTATATATATTTTTATACAATTATTTTAAACAATATTTTTATTTTACAGACGCAGTCATATAGTGCTCCAGAATGCTCTGCCCATGAAAAATGAATACGTGTTGATGTGTCGAATGACTAAATTACAAAAAGATCTGATGATGGCATTCATGGACACAGCAATCCATGATCCCGACTCTTTAGGCACATATAAGGGTCGCATAAATATTTTAGTCATTTTTGCCGTTTGCTGTAAAATATGGAACCATCCGGATATCATTTATGATATTCTTCGGGAAGGTATATCTCGTGATGATCTCGACATCGAAGCTATTCCAACGAAAAACAATAAGACTAACAGAAATAAGAAGAAAAATGATAATAATATGAACAATAATTTGGATTCATTTATTAAGAATGGATTTGGATTAGACTCAAATCGGATGAAAGGAAATAATTATTCAAATGATTTGATGAGTGAGTTATTTGATGCTCCGTTGAGGACAAGAAATGAAGGAATAATTGATTATTCGTGGGCTGAGCCAAAACTTGGTGATTATAAAGTGGGACTAATCGAGAATTCTTTTAAAATGTTTTTATTATTCGAGATAATCAAAGAGAGTATTGCTTTGGGCGACAGATTATTGATATTTAGTCAATCGTTAATGACTTTGGATCTAATAGAAAGATTTCTACAGTCAAGAACAGTGCCAAATACAGGGAACAATTGGATTAAGAATGTAACATATTATCGATTAGACGGATCGACTTCTACTCACGAGAGAGAAAGATATATCGAAAAGTTTAATAAAACAAAAGACGCCCATCTTTTTCTTATATCTACCAAAGCTGGAAGTCTTGGTATTAATCTAATTGGTGCCAATCGTATTGTAATATTTGATGCCAGTTGGAACCCATGTCATGACGCACAGGCAGCCTGTCGTATATATCGCTACGGACAGGTACCAGTATTTTATAAAATTACCTGTAGTTTGAAAATAATTGCAATTTTGATCAAATTAGGCCAAACCGTGTTATATTTATCGACTGATTTGCGACAACTCACTGGAGAAAAAAATGTATGACAGACAGGTCAACAAACAAGGAATGGCCAATCGGGTAGTGGATGAACAAAATATTGAGGCCAACTTTACGTGGAGAGAAATTACCGAATTGTTGGCCGATTTAAATACAATAGAAGAGCCACCCATTGAAGTGTTTACTGTCGAACAGTTGTCTAAATTTAATGACGAACTCATTAAAAGGATTTGTCGCAAACATAACTACTCAATAACACGACTTCCCTTTGAACACGAATCGCTATTTTTGGATAGAAAGGAACAGAAGTTGAATTCTCTGGAAAAACGAATGGCTTTCAGACAATATGATGAAGCAAAACGAGGAAAGGTTACTAACGATATGCTTTCATCTCCATATTCACTCAATCACACCACTAGTAACTATCCTCCTTATGGACTACCATTTGGAGGGGGAGGGAGTGTCAAGTTTGAGCCAACTTATAATTCATTGCCGGATCAGATTACTCCTACTCCTAATCCATTTTATTTGAATGGTGTTAACTCATATCCTAATGTGAGTCAACCATTGCCTGCATATCCACCACAACCTCGAAATATACATTTCCAAAACTTTGACTCCATTGCCGAAAATATGGTTCGCAGTGGAAATACAGTCAAAAAGCTAAGAGTGCCCAATGACTTAAATATTAGTGTAGGGCTTAATAATTCAGTCAGTATTAAAAGAGGTGAAGAAGTTATGGTTATTCAAACTCCTAAAGGTCTTTACCTCAGAACAAATGAGGGTCACATCATATCCATAAAAAATTCTCAATCAAATGCCTTTTTGTCACAAATGCCTTCATCTATGCCTCAATCGAGTAACTCATTTGGTGTAAGTATTAATTGTTTTTATTATGACAAATGACTTAATTAAATATTGATGTTTAGGTTCTTCAGCCAAACTTACAATGTGGTGGTACTGTTCATTGTTTGCCGTCATCACTAAGACTTACCGGTAACTCTACGTCCACTGTTTCGCACCCACCAGAAGTGGTCCAATTAAGTGATGACGACGACGACAATGACGACGACGATAAGTTACAAATGACTAACATTTCCGATAATAATGAGACACAAACTATCGATAGCAGTACTAATGATCCATCAATATTGTCAAACGGATCGACAGCTAATTTAGATACATACCCAACAGCTGAAGAGATTAATAATTCAATGGACCAGTTCTTAGTGTCGACAGTGGATAACGATGACGACGATGAGTGCCAAAAATACTCGAATGATTTGTCATTTGATTCACTACTTGATGAACCATTAGACAACTCTTCATTGATTGACACCACGTCTTCAATTGATAATCTTATGCCTTCTCATAGTTCTCACGATAACTCTATAACATATTGAGAACATTGGGATTTAAATTGATTTTTGTAATTTAATTAAAAATATATAAATAATTAAATCTCATAAAATTATTAATAATTTGATTGCCTATCAAATTGTTATATTATTTTTTAATTACACAATTACTCTATTTCTATTGTCGTTGGATTATATTATCGGTAATTGTAATTATTGTAAATTATTATTTGCATGTTTTGTATTACTATTATATAGTAATTATTTATATTTAAATCTTATATATTATATAATACTGTAGTTAATTAACGAAATCAAACAAAATTGTAAATATATTTTATAAATTGCATTTATAAAATGCCAAATATTTTGTCACATGTAATCATAAAAAAATATAATTTTATTTAAAAAATTGACTACGTGTTTGTTAATTTAATTGTAAACACATTAAAAGTGTTAATTTATTACATACAGTATAAATATTTGTTATTTAACACAGTTAGGTAAGTGGATAGTCCTCAATGTCAAGCTCAGGGACACTCATTATAATGCAATGCATACCTTATAATGGCACTAAAATTGCACTACTAATAAGTAGGGTTCGGTAAATTGCATTACCAGTACTCGTTTTATTATAGATAACTTGATTATGTTCCCTCCTCTCTGGAAATTCCAAAGGAATCTAATTCATTATCTTACTATCTATTGAACCCTAAACAACAAATTTTATTATAAGGTTTACAAAATAATTGTTGTATTAAACTATTTTAAATGGCATTGAATATTTCAATGAAATTTTATGTTAAATATTTAAGTTTTTGTACTATTTATTGCAATTATATAAAATATATTTCTCTTTCTAACGATGAGGGATGGAAAATAAAATATTTTCCGGTAAAGTTGGGAGGATTTTATTAGGGAACTTCCCTCCCTTAAATGTTGCCCAAACTCTTATAATATAAATTTTTTTAAATTTCTATATTACCGGTAATCAAAATTGATTCAAAAATTTGCTAGTTTAATTATAATTTTTAAAAAAAATTTTATGAACTAATTACTAATTAATTAGTAATTAGTTATTTTAAATGATTATTAAGTTATTAATTATTTTATTATTTTAATTAAAAATATGTTTATTTTTATAATAGATATCTATTAGTAATATTATCAAATATAAAAATTATATTTAATAACATCTTTTTTAAAAAAAATTCTAGTTAGTAACACATATTTTATTAATACTATATGCACTATAATTAAATAATTTAAAATAAATCATAAATTGTTAAAAAAAATTAATGATAAAATTTATTACACAATTCTATCAATAATTTATTGCATTCCCAGTAAGTTATTCTTAAACTAAACTAAAAAGATATTTGGATTTTACAAAGCATTTCTCAAAATTAAATAAAAACAAAATTAGTTACTTGTTTTCAACAAATCATTGGTCGTTTAAATATAAATTAATATAAATTTTATAATTTAATGATAAAAATAAGCTGATTTTCAGGTCACTGTCAAAATACTTATACAGTATTAATATACTGTAACATATTTACTACTATATTACATTATCAAACTGTCACACTATCACTGATGAAATTAAAAAATTAGTTGTTTTTCAACAAAATTCATTTGAATTCAAATCAAATACTATAAAAACCAGATCTAAATAATCATAAAGAAATTATTGGTATAAAAAGTTTTGTAAAAATTATTTTTATGCGAAAAATACTATCTAATAAATTATTTAATACAATTTTAACTTTAATTTTCTGAAATTTTGAGATATTTAAGGAATTGATATTTTCTTAAAAATAGTTAGTTTCTAAAAATTTATAGAAACTTATGTCTAATATTTATGTACTGTATTTCTATTCTATGAATAATATATTGGTTTATTAATTAATTAACTTATTAAGTATTATAATTTACAATAAATTAAGTATTATAATGAATGGCAAAATTGAAGAGTCGAATAGTAATTTAAAAGTAATTATATTAAAATTTCATAAAAAATTAATATTTCTAATAATTTAATTTTAAAAAAAGTATTTATCGGGTTTTGGGAATGAGTTTACCAGTGAAGATGAACGATGTCCCGGATCGTTGCCTATTGGACAGGTATCTAATGTACTTAAAAAATAAAATATTATTTAAAATTGATTATTACGTCTATATATTAAAGAACACTCCACAAGTATGTCCATATGGGTTATATGCCGAACAACTATCGGGAACTGCATTTACAGCGCCCCGGGAGCACAATAAGAGAACGTAAGGGTTTTCAATAATAATTTTAAATTACAAAAATAATTATGATTTAATAATAATTTGATCCAACAGCTGGTTTTATCGTATCAGACCATCAGTAATTCATAGTCCATTTATGCCATACACTAATGGAAACGTTACATCAAACTGGGATCAAATTGAACCGACACCTAATCAGTTGCGCTGGAATTCATTCAAAATGCCATCAAACGAATTAAAAGTAGATTTCGTGGACGGATTAAACACTATTTGTGGTGCAGGAGATACCAGGTCTCGACACGGAATGGCTGTTCATATTTATGCCATCAATAATTCAATGGAGAATAAGTGCTTTTATAATTCAGATGGAGATCTTCTAATTGTACCACAAATAGGACAACTGTTGATTACCACAGAATTTGGTAGAATACAAGTCGAACCAAACGAGATCTGTGTTATACAACAAGGCATCAAGTTTTCAGTGGACATCACCCAACCGTCCCGGGGATACGTACTTGAAGTCTACGATAATCATTTTGTTTTACCAACTTTAGGCCCAATTGGAGCCAATGGTTTAGCTAATCCGCACCATTTCTTAACTCCCACCGCTCGCTATGAGGATCGAGAATGTGTTTATAAAGTGATCAATAAATTTAATGGAAAGTTATTTGTGGCCAAACAATCATACAGTCCTTTCGATGTAGTGGCCTGGTATGGAAACTATGTGCCGTATAAATATAATTTGGCAAACTTTATGGTCATCAATTCAGTGTCATTTGATCACGCGGTCAGTCATTGTTTAAAAATTGATAAATAATTATTTTATATTATATAAAAATATTTGGTTATTTAGGATCCGTCTATATTTACAGTACTGACGTGTCCGTCTGAAAAGCCCGGTGTGGCCATTGCCGACTTTGTAATATTTCCGCCGCGATGGGGAGTAGCTGACCACACTTTCCGGCCACCGTATTATCACCGAAACTGTATGAGTGAGTTCATGGGCTTAATTAAAGGAACATATGAAGCAAAAGAGGGTGGCTTTCAACCCGGAGGCGCTAGCCTTCACTCAATGATGACACCTCACGGTCCAGACTACCAGTGCTTTACAAAAGCAATTACCGATGACCTTAAGCCTCAACGTATAGCTGAAGGGACTATGGTTTGTATAAATTAGTTTTAGAAATAATTATTTATATTAATTGTAATTTTAATTTCCAGGCGTTTATGTTTGAAAGCTCATTAAGTTTAGTGACCACTGAATGGGGACTTAAGACATGTCAAACATTGGATGAAAATTATTACAAATGTTGGTCTGATTTAAAAAGCAATTTTAATACAACTACTAAACAAAAATAAAAACACTATTATTAAGATAAATATAATATATCTTATATGATCATTATAATCATAGTTTTTATTTTATAATAAATTTTCATCTTTAAATATTTATCTCTGTAAATTATAATACATTTTAATTATCATAAGTTGTGATTCACAACTCAATAAAAAATATTTATATAAATGTTATTAAAATAAATGAATTAAGAAATTACCAATTTTTCTTAATTAAATAAATAAAATTTTACTCAATGTTCAGTTTAATAACAATATGAAAAAGTGTGAGATTTAAAAAAAAATTTAATGAAATATATTTTTTAAAATTTGCATGGTACTAATTTTATAAATTTTTTACAAGTAATTTAAATATACAGTACATTTTTATTATTTAATAATTATAGTAAACTAAAGTTATTATTGCTATTAATGTTTTTATAGAATTTCATTGCATTTATATAAAGACTACATTTATATTTATAAATAAATAAGTTATGGCTATTAGTAATTTAATTAACAGTACTTAATGTTTAATACATCGACATTTATTACTGTAATTGTTTTATTCAAATATTTTTATAATTATTACAATTAATTACAACTAATAGTTTTGTTGTTTAAAAATAAAATGTTATTTAATAGTTTATAATACTGTATAAACTTTATATATTCAATACATAAGTTATAGTATTATATTGAAACACGTAATAATAGTTTAAATATTTGACTTTATTTAGAAAATATAAAAATATTTTTAATAACAAAATTAATATCAAACATAAGTAATTAATTAAAAAATACAATATTCACATATATGCTATTTGTTTATTGTTAAATGTAAAATCATTAATAATATAAATAAAAGTGCTATTGAAAGTTATTTGATAAACTAAAAGTATTTGAGCTAGATCATATTGATTTACTTAAATCATACAAAAATGTGATTCAAAATACAAATTATTATAAAATTGTTTATTTTTATTTGAATATTAATTTTGAACAAAAGGAATATACAGTTATATAATATCCTATTAAATACATTATATATATATATATATTTGAATATAAATTAACATATCCTATGATATAATGAATGAAATCAATGACAACGAAAAGTGTGTTAAAAACAGTGTGAACTATATGTTGACTATATGTGTGTCGCGACTATAGTATGGTATTAGGGCTTCAATGAGTCGGCCATTGCTTTATCATTAGAGTCAATACATTGCATTACAATCATTATGTGTTGACTTTGTTTATGAAATAACATTTGATTGCTTTTATTATTAAGTAATTATATCTTTAGCCACAATAATGAATGTACTTAACTGATAGGTAAGTGTATAATCAATGATAATCTCTATATAAATATGACTAACCCTTAGTATAATAATAAACATATAACAAAATCAATGGTTTACGTGACATATCCCAGTGCTATACCATAACATTATTACTATAGTCTATAACACACCAATGTATTTGTCTTTTTAAATGCTTAGGTAGTGTTTAGTGTCTGTGCAAAACACCCGTTCCCTTTGCTAAACACTTACATTATCTAACTTTAAACTATATTTACAATTAGTGTCCACTTTAGCCATGATTTGGTTGTTATAAATGATTTAATATTATTATATACATTGTGTGTCCATAAAACTGATGTAATGATTGAATACAATTTGAGTCAATGTATTGCAATCATTGACTTAACACTCACTATATGTTTGTTCACAAAATAATTGTTTTTTTGTGTGTTTTATTAGTTTCTGAGGTTTGGTTTGCCATAGGGTTTGGGTTTTATGATATTATATATGATATTTAATTTTGAAGATTAATGTTTGATACCAATTGATCCAATGCTACTGTAGTTTAATTAATTAATTAATTAATTAATTAATTCATTTCATTTTTGAAATAATTATTATTTTATTGAAAATTAAATGATTTAATAGTTAGTATAAACTTAGTTTATTAAGTGATCAGTAAACCATTGCATTCAATATTTAATGAAATAGATAGTAATGTATGTTTAATATATTGATATAGTAATTGTGTTTTGAATAATACTATTAAAATTTGCAAATTAATTGAATAAATCAATTGCAATACAATTAAATAGTTTGTATTAAACAAATTGATTGTTTTAATTAGCATTCAATTGATTTACAAATAGTTAACAAATGCTTATAGTTTAGTAATAAATGTTTGATATTATGTTAATTAACGATAATATTGAAAATGTTTATAAAATGACTTTTAGGTCATCACTGAAATTCAATTGACTGACGATTGCAGTGACGACTTAAACAAGAGTTTGTCATTGATTTTGATGGCCATCTCATCCCAGCATTGATTGAAGTGATAATTGAAAGCATAAGAAAAAATAGTGAAAACAATGAATTCAAATATTATTGATTTGATGACACAAATTGGTCTCCGATTTGAACCCAAAATTAGTCATTTGATTAGTTGATCGCAAGATTTAACGTTATATTGCAATCAAAATTAAGAGATAGTTAATAGTAATTGAAAAGATATTTATTAATATTTATTGTAAATTAATTGCAACTTAAGTTCAAAACCTGTTAATTGATTTATAATTTGATAAATTTGTTGATCAAATGCGAGTATAACTCAAAAGAGTCACCAAAACTTCAAATCGGACGACTCATTAAATTAAATTTTCCTCAAGTTTTCAAAATCTAATAACAAAGTCAAAGATAATACCAGATGTTGGAAGACATGACAACGCAGACCCGATCACAGACCAGATGTTTTTCACCTGTTTTTCCAAAAGACGAATCAAATTGCAAGAAATTAAAGATAGACAGACATTCAGATTGTAAAACAGTCAGCAATAAGAAGAATGTCAAACAAAATGACATCAAAGAGGAAGACAATTCTGGCGAAGGTCTGGACAGTCCGGCATTTCGTCTGAGACCTCGAAGAAGTACACCGAAGCCAACGCCCTCATCTCACGGCAAACGATTTTCACCGTTTACTGCAATGATGGAGAGGTTGAAACATTTGAAGGACGGATCAGATGTTAAACGAAAATTATTATTCAACAAACAAAAGGTCTATCCGTCGACTTTTAATTCTGACGAAAATGTGCCACTAATACGAGTAATACCTCCTCGTTCACCGACATCGTCAGTAAAGGAAGATATATTTGTGTCACCATTTGTACCGAAAATATCGACAAAAGAGCTCGAAATGGACAAAGAGTACGGCGTTAACTACATTTCGCTAAAGATTATCATGAAAGAGGACCTGGACTTGAATGGCGAGAAGTTGGTCAAACTCATAGCCACCGGTGCCAACATTGAGGAGACCTCTCAGGCTTCCACTTCTAAGTCGATGTAATAATTGATTTTTTAATAGTTTTGTTTAATCAATAATTTAATTTTTTTAGAGAAACTGTTGTTTACGAACCAAAGATATCCATCTATTTGTTTGGCACTTATGTCAACTGTAGAGCAGAGAAGGATAAAATTATCAATATTGTTAAGTTTAAGACAAAATCACAACCACTTGTAGATAGTGATCAACCAATTGGAGGCGATTTTGACTTTGCAATTGTTGTTCAGTCTTCTCCTGAAGAAAATTGGATACCATTTGTGTCTATAACTAACACATGGAAACCACCTGAAGATCCGCGAGAACTAAACAAGACTCTGTTTATTAAGGCTCCCGATGGACGACGACCTGAGTTCAGCTCATATACGAGCAAGAAATAGATGACAAACAAGAAATAGTGAATAGTTTTTTGTTACATATTATATATAAATAACTCAAAATTTTTAGATTTAAAATAATTTAAATTACCGTATCTTTTGTTTGTTTGATCTCAAGTACTATAAAACAAATGAAAAGATTTATTTCACAAAAATGTATACATTTTGTAATAATTTAGATTTTCATTATATGTCTATTCTGTCTATATTATTATTATTATTATTATTATTATTATTATTATTATTATTATTATTATTATTATTATTATTATTATTATATACCGTATGTTATATATTGTTTGATTATTGTATATTTTTAGATAATTATTCATATTATAATATTATAGCCTCATTTGCCTTCACTATATAAATATATATTGAATATAATGTAGGTTTTTCTATCATCACAATATTTTTCATGTTAGCTTTATTTTTGATGGTATTATAATTATTATTGCAATTATATTAATATTTTATTATAATTACAATTATTAACAAAAAGTTAATAATAATATTATTATATATATTATACTGTATGTTTTCATTATTTTATAATCAAAAATAGTAAACACGATAAGCAGCATATTATACAGAAATATTTTAAATTGTATTCAATTAAAACAATGGTTTAATAAGTTATGATATTGTCTGTCAACTGTTTAAAAATATATATTTAACAAAAATTATATACAAATGTTTTATTGATAATTATTTATATAAGAAAAATTATTTCTCACTCATTAATTATATTAAAGTTGTATATTTTGATTTAGTTTATAAATTTGTAGGTATTATTTGCATAAATATACATATAATTTATTATTACTTATAAATAATGATTTTATTTAAGTATTCAATTATTTAAAAAAAGTGTTCTTACATTATAAAACAGTACTGTTTAATGAAAATAATAATTATTATAAACTGTAAAAGTGTTTACCGGTAATCGATTTAAATATTTAAATTATAATAGTGTGAAACAAAAAATAATTGCCACTTTGATAACGATTTTTAAATCAGTATATATTAATTTGTGTTATTAATAGACTACTGAACACACAATATGATAATTTTTGACACAGAAATCATTGATAATAATAATATACTTTACAATTCAAAATCATTTTCCATTATATTAATGTTATTTTTGTATATATCTGATAAAATCGGACACAAACTCTTTGACTACTACTATAAAAAGATTAATTGATTGTATATTTTGAATGATTGCATACAATAATAAATATATAAAATAAATAAATAATTTATATGATTAAATAAAAATGATTTTTTTTATTTATTGCAATTACAATTTTCAACATTTCAAGTGATAGCATTTATTTTAATACAAATAATCTTTAATAATTATAATAAAAAAATTTATTTAATGATAAGATTTGAACTTGAAATTATATTTACAAATATATTTTTTTAAATGTATATAAATTATAAAACTAAAAAAATCGTTATTACAATAAATTTGAAACTATACACAATAATAATACAATAAAAAATGTTAAAACTGATTGTAATTTTTTAAATATAATTTTTTCACACAATTTATATATTTGGTATATAATAAGGTGTATAATTATCTTATATTAACATTTAATTCACTAAAGGGTTTCAATAGTTATTTAATATAATACTTATACAATTCATATGAAACATGTGTATGAATTTTTATAAGAAATTGTCACAAAAATCAGTTCACAATAAATGTTGTATATAAGGATCACATATATTGTGTCCATAAAATTGGCGATTAATAATGAGAGATATATATACTGTATATATATATATATATAATTAATGATGTATATAAAAATGCATTGGCAGTGAGATCTTGATCTATGCTCTTTAGGAAATTCATTACATGACATCACCATTAGATAAGATAACAAACCAACAAATACTTGTTTCAATGATTTAGGAATAGCTAATACTATAGTTTTGCCTAAATTATATTATTGTGTCCATAATAAGAGACATTCTTTCATATATTATAATATATATTAAATAATCTTAAAAATTTGTTTCATTGTATGAAATAAATAAATGTGTTTTATATAATAATTTATACAACTTTTGTTTGACTAAATGTTTATGTCTCCCAGTACTACAAAATACAAATAATCTTCAAATAATTTAGGAGACAGTATTTGATGAGCAATTGTTTTATCAATATTAATACAATTTTGTTTATATTAGATAAAACTAAAGTTAATTATAAATTGTTATAAATTTGAATAACAAATAACTATAAATAATTAAATTATCATATCTTTCTATATTTTAAAACTTTCCTATTTTTTACATTTGTTTCATTCATTAATAACATTCATAATCAACAACTTTAATAACAACTTTTCTTTCTTTTATCAAAAAACAATGTCCACTGACGGGAACTCCTAATTGAGGGCAAAATTATGCTAATGAGTCAACTTTCAAGTGCTGGTCGACTGAAATTTTGATTGCGTGACCGTTTTGATTGTGGCCACCGGTGACTGTCATTTGGCTGCCGTATGGGCTGTTGGTGTCGTCTTGAATGTTGGACACCAATGACTCTAATGCTCGATACAGAAATAAGTAGTCGTCTTGTGATCTCCATATACCCGGTCGACGCAAATGATAAAGTTTTGCGAACATATAGACGTCAACACAATCCTCAAAGTTAAGCTGTTTGTATAATGTGGTCAAACAGCAGAAAGTGGCCGATTCGGTGCCACCAAATCTAATTTAATATCAAATAATTATAATTAGTTTCTAATTTAATAATAAACTATTGCTTTGACATACTTGTCCATAACAACGACTGGTCCATTAGGCATCTCGACATACCAATCCTGTACCACTTTGACCAAATCGAAAACATTGGACAGGGGTTGCCGTTCAGGCCAATCGCAACAATGGAAAACACGACAGCAAAGCTCATAGTCATCCTGAGTGGACTGTAACATGAAATCTCGAGTCGTAATAAACCCTCCGCCTTCTTGTACTATACGGGCCTCATCTGTAAGTTTGACTTTGAATGAGCCGTAATCACACTCGTCATCCCTGTCTGGCCAGAACTGCGGGAATTCTTTCTCGTCAATAATAGACGAGAGTATAACAATAGATTGCGAGTTATGATCCCAAACCATTTGCCAGAAGTCACCAATTGTATCCCACACTGGATGTTGAGTTATAATGAATTCCCGGAGACGATTAAAACCGGGAAGGAATGTAGCGTTTATATAGTCAGATCCATCAGTACCCGGAATCTTGGGAATGATGTGAACGCGATGTGCTTCCAATGGGATCAGATTCAGTGATCGGTTTTTCAATTTATTGCACGGCTTTAGAGCTGACACAACATTAAAATCTTTTGCCTGAAAAAATAAAATGACAAAAATTTGTAATTATTGATATATTTAATACAATCAAATCAATTAATAATATATACCTTAAATTGTGTAACCAATCTGAATTGACGTTCAAGAAGTGGCCAGTGATGACTCTTATCATAGCTAACATTACTGGAACCGTCACCACCGGTCTGTAAGGTTTGAATGTATTTCAAGAGATGACTCGATGGCACCTCAGTATCGCCCGACTCAATGGCTTCCTGAAGTGCGTCGTGAATGAAGACATACTGTTCCTCAGTTTGAACCAAATAATTTCTTTGTTGTCTTATATGCTTAAGAAATCCAAACACATTCATTGACAATCTGTGCTTAATCTGTCGTTGCATTGCATCCAACACTATGTAAGTGCCGGTGCGGCCAACGCCCGCTGAACAATGAACGATAATGGGTCCGCCATTCGGTGGATTAGCTGCCGATGATTTGCGTACAAATGAAAGAACTGGAAGTGGATGATCGGGAACGCCGTGATCCGGCCAATTGGTATAGTGGTACTGATAGACTGTGCGCTCACATCCGTGCTTCTAATGGTTACAAATTAACATAAATTAATTAATAATTGATAAAAAATCTAATTAAATATGAAATACCTTTTTAACTTTATGGTTCCTAACATTAAATGTTCTCAAAGTATATGTGGCCATCACTACCTCCTGAAGTAATTTAACATTAATTATTCCGTAACTCTCAGATCCTTCTTTAGGCCAATACATATCACATTTGCGCTAATAATCAAATAATAATTGAAACATTAAATTAGTTGGTTTGTTGTCAATCAATACAAAAGCATTTAATAATTCAATAAATATCATAAACAAATTAAAAGTAACTCAATTTCTTTTCAATGAATTGTTAAATCAGATTTTTAAAAATATTTATTTTATATATAGAGATAAAGTTAAATAAATGGGTTTAAAATAGAATATGAATCGGAAAATAGTATACATAAATAAATATATAGATATTTAATGTTATATTATATTTAATGTTATATTATATTTAATGTTATATTATATTATATGTTATATTATATTATATTATATATTATACAGAAGTATATATTATAGTGGGGACAGATAGAGATGATTGATAGATATTGAAACAGAGATTGAGTTTACTTACAGAGTCATCCAGTTCTGAATGATAACTATGAGAGTAGTGGTGCGATGCATGCTATTAGAGATAAGATATGTCAAAGAAAAACAAACAGAAACACATGCATTCAATTCAATTAAATCAAATCCAATAAGAAAAACAATACCATTTAGAGTATAAAACTAAGAATATTCTTATAGTTTCTGACAGACAATAGTTAATAGCAATTTTCTTACAATTTTTGATAGTTTTTTAGAAATTAATTAATTAGTAAAATAATTTGCAGTTTTTCTTTTGAAGATTATCTAGCGTTGTTTAGATAATAGTAATGTTTAATAAGAAAATTAATGTTTTTCAAAAACAATGGTAAATGTAAGTCAAAATTTAAATTAGTTTAAGTTTGTTGTTGTTGTTGTTATTTAATGTAAAAATAAAGTCGAAAAGATTTAAGAGTAGTCTTAATAATAGAAAGAGTTTTAATAAATAAAGACTTAAAGTTTAGTAAGTTTTGTGTGTTATATAAAAGCCAAAATCAATGAGCATTTTGTGTCTCACAGTAAATGTAAGACAAAATGACAATTGAATGCTGAAAATGTACGACTAATAAAGTAATTGAATCCGACTCTTGTAATCGACAAAAGCCATGGATTAGCGCTGGGATTTTGGGAGTTATATAATGGGAAAAGGACTGTACGTTTGATTGATAAAAGCAAATAACAATTAACTTACTCTTCCTCTTTCCATTAAATTAGTTATCATTACTATTATGCAGACTCGCTGTTCCCAAATCATACGCCAGTAATCGTCAAATGTTGAGGGAAGGGGTCCTTGAGTTCCGATATATGCCTGAGATTTACCGTAACCCTAATTAGAAAAATTTCAAATGTAATTAATTAATCTAAATTTAATTAATGAAAAAATATATAAAAAACAAATTATACATCAATATAATTGGCATTAATATAGTCGACACCATTCTTCTTCTGTGTGCTCAATGGTTTGAGTACAACTCTTGTGTGATCATAAGCTACGATATTGACGTAACGATTCTTATTTTTATTCTCCAAGAGCTGTGAGTGTTGGCACGACAGGTCCAGATCAGTGGCCTGTTGTATGGCTTCGTATTCACGCGAAAATCCGAGGTCACCGTCGGCATGTAAATCTTGCACATGTTTTGACCACTGAGACACCGGTACAGAAGTATATTCCGAGTCATCAAATATTTCGGAAAGTTGTGGGGAACCACCTCTAGTAGCACTGGGAGGATCATCTAAGTAATAATAAGCTGCCTGGAAGTACTTGCGCCACAACACAAACGACAAAATGGCCAAAATTAATGCAAAAGAGGCGCAGATGACACCCGCTATCATCGATGCCGGCAGAGTTGGCTCGACATAAGGTGCCGATACAAAACCTGTTTGTTGATGAATATGATGGACACGTGAAACATAAAAATATTATATTAGTATTAAATATAAAACATCAATATTTGTAAGCTATAACAGACAAAGACAACAACGACACCAAAAGACAATCCATTAAATGACAGACAATTAAAATTATATAATTAATATAATATTAATATTTATGGTTTAAATAATTTTTATCTTACATTCTCATAGTCTATGTTATTATAGTTAGGTCAGTGTCTAATGCACTGATGCTTTGCTTTTGTTTAGTAAAAGAAAGTTTAGTGGAAATCGGAAAGTGATAGGACTTACTGATGCACTTACTCTGGAGGATGACCTTACGGGGCTCACTGAACTCTCCCCGGTATAGCTTAGTGTGCTCAGTTATGCTTCTGGTGGCACCTTGCACCTTTACTTCATACAACGTGCCTTTAGTCAGATTCGTTATGAATGCCTGTCCATACAAAACATGAAAACAATTAATCATAAGAAATATTATCATTTAATAAATACTATGATCTCTTAATAAGAGACGATAAACTCACATAATGTTCGTAACGTGTGTTAGCACCACCTCCTGGAACGGCTACCTCTTCGAACTCGTTGTCACTGTTATGTTCCGATCGGTAATATATGAAGAAGTAGTCAATAGAGTTATAGTAGACCGACGGTCGCTCCCAAAACACATGAAGAGCATCACTGGTTGTCTCGCAGGTCAGGTTCACAATTTGTGGAGCACTGGGACCCGTCACATCAGTACGATATTCAACCGCTTTACTGGACTCGCCCTCTGTTTTCTGAGAGTAGGCTTTAATCCATACTTTGTATTGAGTGAATGGTTCTGTAATTTTATATAAAATAATATAATTTAGATTAAAAATTATTTTTTATAATTATTTATATTTATTATATTTGAAATTGTTATTAATATTACAATATGTGAATAGAAATTCATTATATTGTCATAAATATAGATCACATCTATAGTATTAATATCTTTATATCTAAATGTATTTTATTTTCAATACTTTATTACAGAGAAAATTAATTATTAAACATAACATTTCATGTTATGTATGAGTCATTGATATGTCGTTCACGTTATTTGAATTGAATTATACCTTAAGTAAGGACTATATGATAGATGAAGTAAGGTTTGGCAAATAACTGATACATTGCACCCATTTATTTAAAGTCTAACAGAGCTTTTAAAAATTCATTTAAAAATCTGGCCATTGATTAAATCAATAAATACCAATATATTTATGTGTGTGAGCTATGAAATTGATGTCTAACATTATTAGAAAAATCAATAACTAACAGAATATGTACTAAATATATAATTGAATTTTAATTAATTAAATTTTTAAAATACAGTTCAATGAATTTATATAAAATGCATAGTAAAATGAGCTAATATTTGAATTATTTCTATATTAATTTGATCAAAATTGTTTGAAAATCTCTAATGTATCACATATACAGTATATTATATACAATATATACATTATAAATCATTTAGAGTATTACTATTATGTTTCATGTTATGTCTTAATATAAGATAAAATACTTTATATTAAATAAATATATTCTATATTTTATATATATTTGTGTGCAAACATAAATCAAAAACAAATAAAAATAAATTCTTGCATTTTGGTTGATATGTATTGAAAAAATAAATCAATGATTAATTTGAACTGAGAGTAAACATAAAATTAAAAAAATTATTAAAAATTAATTATTTATATCATAGTATGTAATGGAGAGGACAGGAAATATAAGTGATTGTTATGATCATTCATTGATGTCATATATGTATTAAAATTATTCAATATATGTAAATAATTAATACAATACATACTTAGGTTAGTGATAGTAAAATCAATGGTATATTGTTGAGGGTTAACCACTTTTTTTACTTCAGTCAAATTGGCCACAATATTCAGTACATATATCCGATATCCCTGTAGTCTACCATTTGGGTGCTTCGGTTCTAACCATTGGAGACGGGCCTCAGTATTGGTCACCCGAACCAGTGTTACATTTCTTGGTGGACTCGAGACTATTAAACATTAAATAATAAAAATTAATATTTTATACATTAAATAAATTTAACATTAATAATTCAAATAGCAAAATTTAATATTTATATAAATAATTAATCATATCATCTAAAAAATATACATATTTAAAATCCTAATATTTTTTGTGTATAATTAAAATCAGTACAAAAAACAATGAAATACTAATTTCATATTTAATGCTTATTTAGTATTGCATATTATAATACAATTATTTTTTGTATATATATCTAACACAGAATATTGATTGTATTAAATCCCATTTATAATTGATATATTCATTCATAATTAATACATTATATAACAATATATCATATATATATATATACTATTACTATATATATACGGTATTATATAATGATATAATTAAAACAAAAGTTGACTAAAATACTGTATGTAATTAGTATCTAAATTTAGTGACTAAATTTTGTATGATAACTGTTTTAAATTATATAAGCAATTATAATGTGAAATAATAGTACAATAATTTAAATAATTGTTTGGATTGTTGATTAAATTGGTGCTAATGTTTTGTTTCTGTTTGTTGTCCTAAATGTTTAAACAAAACAATGAAATATATGATAAATAAGTTATAATTGTGTGAAACAAGTGGACACTGAATCTCATTGTGAAAAACAATAATTATGTAATATTTAGCTATAATTAATATCAATGAATAGCAAAAAACTGTATGAAAATTAATGAAAAGGTGTGTGAAATATGTTGAATATGATAGGGAAAGGTATGTAAAAATAGTCACTCACTTCCTTCATCTGTGATGGCAGTGACAGCAGTGGCGGGTCCGTCACCGGCCGGGTTGAAGATCTGGACTGAGATCATGTAATCCGTGAACGGCTCTAAACCACGGATTGTATACGACTGTGTCATACAAATGATTACATTAATGATTATTATATTAAATATCATTAAATCATTCATTTTTTTCTTTGTTGTGATTATGTATTAGTTATGCATTTTCTATGTCTTTGTAAAGCAATGCTCACAACATATAATACAACATATAATACAACATAAGGTCTTTCCATTTAAAAGTTGTTTTGGCTTTTTTGCTAAACATTGCCTCAGTCTCTCTCTCTCTCTCTCTCTCTCTCTCTCTCCCAGTGCTCTCTCATTGCTCTCTCTCTCTCTCTCTCTCTCTCTCTCTCTCTTTCTTTCTTTCTCTGCACTGATTCATTGATAGTAAGCAATACATACTCTTAAGTCTGGGTCTCTAACAGTGATCTCTCTTTCGACTCCAAGTTGTAGTCCATGTTTTCTATACTTGATTTTATATCCGAGAAACTCTCCATGAATTGTGTTCCTGTTTGGAGGACTCCACTCCACACGTATGGCACCACTACTCAAATTGCCGGCAGATATCACTGTTGGCTTTCCATCAGGAACTGGAGGTTTAGAAATTAAAAAAAAGAGAAAACAGTTAGTTTTATCAATCAATATTTTGTGGCAATTTTTGTTTTTATATTAACTTTATTTTCTTTAATTAATTTATTTTTTTTGTTTAATTATTTTTGAATTTTTTATTTAATTTTTTTTTTAACAATTCGATGGTTTTGAAAGTGAAGTTTATTTAAATGCTAACAAATAATTAATGATTTATATATAATATACTGTATAGGTATATAAGCTATGTTTGTTAATTATTTTTAATTACTTTCTAAATAAGTAATGACAGGAATTGTTTGACATAAAAAAAATAAAAAATATTAGTTTTTTATTTTCAATTTTACTTATTAATAATTTTCTACTAAATTTCCATAATTTTCATAAATTTTCATAAATTTTATTGATGACTCTAAAATATTATAGCAATGATACAGATATTAAGTACTAATAATTAAGTGAATCGACGGCTTAGAAATATTGATGTGATTTTAAATTGTCTTTCCTTTCTTTCACTTTATTGTTTATTATAATTTATTCATCGGTTAGCCATCAGTAAGCCAACGGTGCCGTCCCTTATGACAGCCACAGAGCAATTAAAATTGATATTTAAGACAATTACCCACATAATTGTCTGTGCAATACTATATGAAGACACTAACACTAGAAGTACACTTTTGCACCGGCAATCAGTGAATGGCGGGTAAGGGAAAGTTAATAATTTCCGTTTGCGTTTTGAAGAGCATCGGTATATCGAGAGCTACTAGAGGTTCATATAGATTATGATGTGCACCAAAACAAAAAAATTAGGTAAACATTAATAATAATTGCACTTTAAATATATATTTATGAATATTATGTGCACCGGAATCGCGCCTCAGACAAACCATTGAGTTATAAATGTCATCACAACCTATCATATAAGGGTTACCAGTATTGACACTACTTTAGCATTAGTAGTACAACTGGAGTAGCAGTGACACAAACAACAGGAGGAAAGTCTAAGAGAGGGGGTGGGAGAGGGATAGGAGAGGGAAAGGAGAGGGTGGCAAACAATTACTTAATGTCCAGAAGGCTTTCCTTAATTATATCAGCCATAAGTGTGTGGAGAGCGAGATATGCTATTAAAATGACTGTATTTTATATATAAATTCAAATCTTTAAAACTTCAACTGTCTTTAGCCTTAAGGCACTTAAGATTCCGGTAGAGAACAGACACAGACTTTGATTAATTGCAAACGACTTTCCTTTGACTCAAATATACGTCAAAAAATATATCACAAAATATCGTTTGAATTAGTTATAAATTATGAAAATTCATTTATTCATATATCAATAGTTTCTAACATTTAAATATAAATTTTGAATTATTTTGTGAAATCAAAATGAATTCCTTAATGATTTTTTATATATAAAATATAGATTAGATTGTTATTACATTTTATGATTATACTGTAATTTTAATTTTTTTATAATGAGTTTGTTTGAATGTACTTTTGAAAAAATATTCAATTAAATAATTGAACATAAGATACATACTTTCTCTAAGTGTGACCATATAGTATGACTCTTTGCTGGGTTGACTGGTGCCGATAGCGTTGACGGCCAACACCCGAAATGAGTAAACGGTAAACGGCTGCAGTTTATCCACATAATAGCTGGTCTTATTGTCGAGAGTGGCGATACCATTATAGGTATCCCATTCACCATTTTCTCCAACCCTAATAAGTTTTTATTGAATGAATAATAATGAAAAGGATTGATTTAAATTTAAATTTTTTAAATTATCATTTCTATAGACTTTTCAGTTAAATTTCTCTCAAACTTATCTAAAATCTTATTTTTATTATTTTTTTCTTTACAATTTTTTGTTTAATAATTTTTTTATAACATGTTATTTAAATTTCAATTTATATTTAAGTAATCAATCAAAACTTGTTATGATAGGTGTTTGAGATAAAGTTAAAGAGATAGTGGACATACCGGGTATGTATGATATAGTTGAGTACAGGCGAGTGGTGTGTATCAAAGCTCGGGGCCCACGAAAGGTTTACCGAGCGTGAGGTAAACGCCATCACCAATGGTTTTCCTGGGGGATCGGGTGCATCTACAATAATATATAAAATATATAGATATTAATATATACACATATATTTAGGTACATTAATAATTTAACCCAACATTAATGGATATATATTTAATGTGAGAAATTTCAAATTAATCATACGGTGCACACAGTTTATTATTAATCAACAACATTAGTTGTACCGGTATATGTCTATACAATTTAACTAACGTAGGTATATATAGTATAAATGTATTGCTATATCATTATTACTTAATATGAATGCTATTTGTAAATTAGAAATTGTAATGCAAAATCAATAGCCAACTGTTTTACAAAAAAATAGATTTACAATATAAACAAATATTGACTATTAATATCTCCTTCAATCTAACTTTATGTTTTTTTATTATTATAAATTGTATTACAAAATGAGTTTTCTTTTCATAAAATTTATTTAATATTTAAATAACAATAATAATAACAATTTTGTTTCCAATCATAAGAGAATTTATTAACATTTCAAACATATATCATATTTTTCATTAATTTAAAGTATAATTCATAGCGTGATTCCTATTCTTATATCTAACTATCCCCTGACTGTCCCGACAACCAATCCTATGTTGACTTTAAATTAAAATTTCTATAAGTATTTCTTCATGATTTGTATTTTTTGAAAAAACATACAAAAATCTAACAAAACATATATTATAATACAGTATTATTAGAAATATATCATAAAATAAAATGATTGACAGCACATATAAGAATTTAATTCAAATAAATTGTTTTAAAGTTAAAAAAAATATTAAATATGTATTTATGTGTTTTTCAAAGAAATGTCATTAAATGTTTAGATAGTTTTTGTGTGTCTTATTTGTTAAATATTTAACATAATAGTAATAAACTAAATAAAAAATTTATTGTAAACAAAATTAACTGATATAATAAATAAACAAACAATAAAATAAAGTTATATAAAGTTTGAATCAATTTTATGAATGAGAATATTCTTGAACTAAATGTATGGACACGTGTGACAGCCTTTCAATATAATTTCACAAATGAGAAACTCATTCAAAGAGACGGAGGGTATTGTCGTCACAATCAATCCGATCGACAATCCGTGACAAACCATATCTTCAACCTATTAAATGGTTCTCCAGTGGCGGTCAAGTGCGGCAAACAGACCCGACACTTATGGTTATACAGTAGTATATATACAGTATAAGCTATATATATATATAGCAATATCTTAAAAAATCACTAAAAATTTCGTGCAAAACATTTATATTCACAGCAATTATTGAGATCTCTGTGTTGTGTCTATCAAATCAGTCATTAGATAGTCGTTCAAAGCGGAAATGGCTTTCCCTAAATCATCAGATAAATAGTTTCGCGCGCAATGAGTCCATAACTAAATAACCATATTTTTTGGAAACATTAGTTTTAAATTAGTAGTTTAATAAAAAATCATAAATATAAAAATTAAGTATATGTGCTAAAAAAGCATAGTAATTTATTAATATGTCAATTATATAAATATGAAAAATTATATGAAACTAATAATAATTTCATGATTAAAGTTAAACAACATTAAAATAAAAATAAGTCTTTAAGATTAATATCCATGAATACAGTATATAACAATCAATTGACAATTAGGAGAATTAAATATAAATCCTTTAAAAATAACTACTCATTATTTAGAAGTCAACTCAAAGGGCGTATAATCACAAAACATTTGAAAATATATAAATAATACAAGTTTTTGACTTAAAATTATTTGTAAAAACTAAATCATTGTAACGCCTACTCATTAATTAGTGATTTAAGGATAGACTGCAAAGTATACGGCAAATGAAGCACTGAAATCATTTTTATTACTTTTAATAGTATAGCCATTTGTTTCTACGGGAAAATCGTTTTTTTACTAAAAATCAATGCACTGGTAGTTATTAGTGACATATCTTATAGAAAGAGTATATTATTTAAGAAAACGATTGTAACCAATGATGTAAGCTTTCTCTCTTTCTCTCTCTCTCTCTCTCTCTCTTTCTCTGTCCAAACATTACTCTCTACGGTCTTATGAACACCAGTTCCGCTCCAACAACACAACCGGTAAAATATAAGTAATAATGAATCACTACTACTATACTATCGACTATAGCTATGTTCCTAACAAGGATTGCCACCATTTTCGCAAACCTAAGACTTTTATAGACATATATATAGTATATGTATATTTTACAATAAATATCATACGATATTTCATAGATTCAGAGAGAGAGAGAGAGAGAGAGAGAGAGAGAGAGAGAGAGAGAGAGACCAGTGAGACATGAAATTTAGAGATGACATTGATATTCAGTTCCGCCACAATATATTCCCTCAGTTTTTCTAAACTAAACATTACTAATATTAATGTTATAGTTAAATATAAATGCAATATATTACTACATGTATACACGCATACATAAGTTATATTTACTTGTTTATACAGTATATCTCAAATAATTTATACTTTTTCTTATGTTATGCAATAATAATATTGTTTAATAATGATAAAACATTGACCCCTCGTTGCCATAAATAAATCAAAACTATATGTTTATGGATTATATGCAATAATATGAAACATTTTTTTCTATAAACTTTGTTCATATAATCAATTGTATTGTTGTTGTGAAAGGTTGATCATAATTTTGCAGTTATGCATAACTCCCACAACTGTCCCACTGTAGCACAACTACGTGGGAGGTGTAGGTCATCATGTGATGATGTGTGGAGACATCACTGTCTCTCCATCAATGTTTAGATGGTTTCTCTTTAATATCAAATCATAGCATTATCGACAACATAAATGATAGTTGTAATTATAGTCGAAAGTTATACTGTATTGACATTAGTTGATATTACAAAAAATATTCTTGTTTTACAACAATAATCATAATATATCCTTAAAAATAAATATTACTTTATGTATCATATGATACTAAAATTCAAAACACAAAATATATATAAATATTTATTGTAATTATTAGTCAATCAGTAAATGGCATCAAATTTAACACTAAATTTATTTAATAATTGCATTTGTGGTTCAAATAGTTTGATACATATTTTAAAAACCAATCACTTTTAAATAGACTTAAAGGTCTAATACCTGTAAATATAAGTTATAATTTAGACACTTAATAAAACATAAATATTCAATAATTAGTTTTTAGGTAAAACCTAAACATATCGATTATTATTAATACCAGTATAAAAGCTAATCTCTCATAGTTGTCTTACATAAATATTATATTAAAATATATTTCATTAAAAATACCATATATTTAGACCCAAAATGATTACAAATAAATTAAGTTTCATTTCAAGTCTATCTATTAAAGCTTCTGTTTTTTGCACTCAAAAACTAAAAAAAATTATAAGATATTAATAATATTAACTTATATTTAGTTAGAAATCAAGTGATTGATCAATATTTTATGGCTTTTAGGCATATTTATAGACAAAATGTATAAAAACTAGAAATAATTGTCGGGAGAAATAATTTTGTTGTAATCTAATCAATATTCTGTATTATAATATAAGTAAGTTTATGGCAAAAGTACTGTAGTTTTTAACTAAAAGTGCTCTCTGTTAGTGATGGCACAGGTAGTGATAGAGTGAATGGCGGCTCTAATAAAATTGTTATCATCAATAAAATATCGCTTTAGGAGTTTTATCTAATATAGAAAGTTAAATATAATTTCTTTTTTGGTTATAGATTTCACATCAAAATCTCTCTCTCATTCACTCAGTCTCCTTATAAAACTAAAAATAATTAGTAATTATTTAAATAAAATATTGAAATATTAACATTTTATATTAATATTACTATTAAAAATAGCTAAAAACTAAAAAAATTTTTATTTAATAATTTCTTTGCAAAATTGAAAATAATTGTTGCAAATCTTATTTTATAATAATATATATATATTTCCGTTTTAATTTGGTGTTAATCTTCAGCAAAAATAAACCCAAATCTAAATAGATGTTTATCCAGATGTAGAAGTGCTAACTGTGCAGAAAAAGGGTTTCACTTCATGTCATATTAAAAATATTATATTAATACATAAATTTAAAGGTAATCATTTAAGACTGAATTGAATTAAAGTTTTGTTGAAAAATAGAAATATAATAACATAATCACCAATATATAAAAATTATGATTTAAACTCAATCTCAAGACTCGGGCATAAAAAATAGATTCAGTCTCTGTATATAAATCAGACTGTGTTTTATTAGTGATATAAATCATAACAACATAACTACAAAACGCGATCTACAGATAAATATCTGCCAACACAGCAATGATAAGAAAATAGACGAACATTTCAAATGAAAGAGAGTCTTAAATAAAATTTTAACCAATACTTATGTAAAAAACATTGATAGGAAAAACCACTACTATTTTCAAAGTCACAAAATAGACACAAAAAAGAGAAATAGCGAAGAGAATCGTATACTTATGATTTGGCGGCAGTCGTCGACTATAAGTCTAACATATAATCAAACATTGGATTCAAAATAAAGAAGATGTGCCTAAATATCGACAACAGATTACATCAAAGTATGATAACAATCGTTATAATCTTCATAAGTATGGCCAACAAGTAATGCTTCAATTGCATGATTACCACTCACAATGTGTGTGTGTGTGTGTGTGTGTGAGAGAGAGAGAGAGAGAGAGATGACGGTAAACATCACTAAAAGTTATATAAGTTATGTGCAAAATTATACCCGTGTTTGTAAACACACACACACACACACACAGAGAGAGAGAGAGAGAGAGAGAGAGAGAGAGAGAGAGAGAGAGAGAGAGAGAGAGAGAGAGAGAGAGAGAATTTTAAAAGGAAATACATTTATTTTAAACAAAAATAAACAAAGTTATATAAATTTATTGAGTGTACAGTATATATCATAATAGCACATAATAATATTTTTGAAATTACAATTTTTTAATTGATATCTAACAGTTTAAAGATTTGAGT